CCAGAATCTTGCACTGTTTTTGTTTTGTTTTCTTTTTGGTGGGACTGGGGTTTGAACTTGGCTTCACACTTGCAAAGCAGCTGCTCTGCTGTTGAGCCATACCTTCAGTCCATTTTGCTCTGGTTTTTTGGAGATGGAGTCTTGTGAATTCTTGCCTGGTCTGGCCTTGAACCACCATCCTCCCGATCTCAGCCTTCTAAGTAGCTAGGATTACAGGGGTGAGCCACTGGTGCCTGGCTTTAGCACTGCTTATTATGGTTTTTTTTTTTTTTTTTTTTTTTTTTTTTTTTTTTTTTTTTTTTTTTTTTTTTTTTTTTTGGCGGCACTGGGGTTTGAACTCGGGGTTGAACTCAGACAGTCACGCTTGCTAAGCAGGCGCTCTTACCAGTTGAGCCACTCTGTTAACTCTTTTTTTTTTTTTTAATTTTTTTTATTATTCATATGTGCATACAATGCTTGGGTCATTTCTCCCCCCGGCGGCACTGGGGTTTGAACTCGGGGTTGAACTCAGACAGTCACGCTTGCTAAGCAGGCGCTCTTACCAGTTGAGCCACTCTGTTAACTCTTTTTTTTTTTTTTTAATTTTTTTTATTATTCATAGTGCATACATGCTTGGGTCATTTCTCCCCCCTCCCCACACCCCTCCTACTACCACCCCGCCCCTCCTCCTTCCCCCCACCCCTCAATACCTGGCAGAAACTATTTGCCCTTATCTCTAATTTTGTTGAAGAGAGAGTATAAGCAATAATAGGAAGGAACAAGGGTTTTTGCTAGTTGTGTCAACTCTTTTTTTGTGGTGATTTTTTTCCAGATAAGGTCTTGCGAACTAATTGCCTGGGGCTGGCTTTGAACTGAAATCCTTCTGGTCTCTGTTTCCTGAGCAACTAGGATTACGGGCTTGAGCCACCGGCGCCCGAGCACTGCTTATTATGTAATCTACCTTTGGTTATAATGACTTAGCCCAGAAATGAAGAGTGAGATCTAGCAGCGTAAATAAGTATGCCACTATCTGTTGCCTTCTCTCAAATGGCATGCATGTCTATATTTATATGATGGTGGCAGGGATGGGAGATATGGAAGTTGTTCTGATTAGGGGGTGCCTCCAGGTAGTGAGAGGTATGAGCTTGAGAATAGAAGACTTAGTGAACCCTGTCCTGGAATTCAATATTTGAAATGTTACATGGACAAAGCAGAAAATATTTTGTGCTTATTTTAGGGGAAAGAAACTAGCTCAAGGGGTGAAGGTTGTAAGGAGGCAGATTTTATCTCAGTAAAAGGAATAACTTTCTAACTAAATACTGGGGCAGTCTGACAAGTCAGGAACCATTTTCGAAAGTAGCAAGCCCAGTAGAAGTATGTCTGCTTATCAGAAATGTGCCTCTGGGCTGGGGAATATAGCTTAGTGGTTTAGTGTTTTCCTTGCATGCACGAGCCCTGAATTCAATCCCCAGTACCAAAAAAAAAAAAAAAAAAAAAAAAAAGAAAAAAAAGTATTAGAGATGTGCCTCAGTCCTTTTTCTGGTCTGGGAGATTGGTCTGAATACTGGGTGACTCCTGTGTGTGGTGCCTGTTGTGTGTTGTACCCCATGGACACTCTGAGAACATACTCCTAAGAGTCTGAGAGGTCTGCTGACCACTGAGTACTGGGAGAGACTCTGGATTCATAGCTCATGCTTTGTCAAGGCACTTGCCATCTCAGTTCTCAGGAGAGTTATAGCCCCCCAAGAATATTTGGATTCTCATGAATTTTTTTTGAATGCTGGGGAAGGAACCCTGGATTCTGAGTTGCCTTCAGAGCACAGCCCAAGTCTGTCTGTACCTAAAGACAGGATCCATATTCTTGCTCCCTGTGTTCATCCAGCTGCTTCAGTCAGACCTCCCGTTGGCTGGCAGTGCCCTCAACTGTCCTGTCCTGAAGCAAACTATTTGATAACACTAACTGCTGCCCCTTACCCCGTGGTGCTCCCCTGTCCAGTCATTGTCCCAGGACTTGGAGTTCTTGGTAGATCTGCTTGTGTAGCTTGTTTTCTAGCCTGCAGGTCCCTGAGGGCAAAGCCCTTATCAAACTGTATCCCAAAGCCTCAGAGTGAATTTTAGTAAAACTCTTGCATCATTTTGTATGGGAAAGATAAAATAATAATATGTTGCATCTTTTGGAATTAATATGTAAATACTTTGCTGAAAAGGGTGGAACATGAGGAGAAAAAGAGGCCTTGATTTTAACTTTCTTCCTTCTTACAGGGATACCAATCCTGGAGGCCCCTTCTCTGCCATAGGAATCTCAGAAATGTTAGACCAGTAATTAGATCATCTTCATTGAAAGCTGGTCCTAAAATGTCTCATTCAGTCATTTAGCAAATACATTCTGTGTGCTGGGCTGAGAATATATGCTGAACAGGGCAGATAGTGTCCGTGCTTTAATGGCGCTGTGTATAACCATTTCCTAGCAGCATACTGTATTCCCAGCCTGCCAATGGTATGTGTTTGCTGCAGTGGAGTTGGAGAGTCATATGCCAAATAAATGCACAATAAATATAAACACAAATAACATGCTATTAAGTGGAGTACTTGTCTTTGTTCTTTTATTGTTTTCTGGGCTCTGTTAGTGGTGAGGAGGAGGTGGACTTCTCAATAGTCCTATTCAGGCAATCTCTCCTTTTCAAAAGGAATTCAGTTTTCTTATCTATGCCCAAGTCATTTTATTTTCAGTGAAATTAGTGATACAGAAACTAAAGTAGTCCTATTACCAAATACTCCTAGCTTTCACCCCTAGATCCCTATTGTGGCCTGTATCCACTGCTTCTCTTTCTTCCCTTCTTCTAGTCTGTCTGTTTATCCACTTACCAGAGGGTGCCAGCACTAGGAGCTGTCCTGGGTGCTGTGCATTCCATAAGGTACCAGGTGAACTCCTAGCCTTTGTCCTAGAGCACAAGCTCTAGTGGGGGAGACAGTTCATGAAGACACATGCAGTTTCAGAGGTAGCAAGGGCCATGAAGGAACTAACTTGGATGAGTAATCCGATGTCCATCCCCATCATGACTACAAAAACTTTCATGATCACTGTTAGTGATCCTCTGGTTTTTGAACTTAATTACAAGATTTTATGATGTATACAAAGATAGTGCAAGGAGTTGTTGCTTAGTGCCAGCAGTCACCATTTTGCTGATTTCGATTTATATGCCCTTTCCCTCCCCTCTTTTTCTTTGGGACTGTGGTGGTTGGAAAGCAGTCCTACCATCAGTCACTCCAGTTAATTGGCTGTGTCCTTCTTGGGTTCTTTGCTTGTGAACCATTTCTGCCTTGTCACGCTGCCCTTTCCCATCATTCTTACTGATTCTGTGCACCTCTGTTGGTTTTCTTTTCTTTTTGGTGGCACTAGGATTTGAACTCAGGATCTCTCAGTTGCTAGGCAGGTGCTCTACCACTTGAGCCACCCCCCTCTTTTTTGTGTTGAGCATTTTCAAGATAGGGTGTTGCAAATTATTATATATCCTGGGCTGGCTTTGAACCAAGATCCTCCTGATCTCTGCCTCCTCAGTAACTAGGATTATAGACATGAGTATCAGTGCCCGGTCTCTGTTGGTTTTTCTTCCTTCTTCTAATTGCATGACCACTTCTCAAGGCTTTGGCTGCTTAAATATGTTACCAAGAATTCAGTGTCCAGGAAAAGGGCGAGGAAGCGCAGTAGAAGGGGTTTACATTGACTTACCCACAATGCATGTACTGGTATAATACCAAGGCAAAAATCCCACTGAACAATGAACAGACACCTAAAACACAGACAAGAATGAAAAACAGGTCACACTAAGGGGAGGTCACTAATGGGGGAGAGGGAAGTTAAGAAGATGAATATGGTTGATATACTTTCTATACAAGAAAACAGAAATTTTATACCTGTTGAAGTCACCAAAAGAAGGGGACCTAGGTAGAAAGGAGAAAAATGGAGGGATGAACCAATTTGGGATATAATAAATATTACGTGGAAATATCATAATGTAACTCCCTGTATAGATATCTTAAACAAGTGTCTTTTTTCAAAAATGGAGAACAGGAGGGTAAAACAAGTCCTCTCTGGATGTTGGCACCAGTGGGAGGGGGAAGGACATGAGGAAAGGGTGTAGAAGGGTAAATATGGTGGAAATATGTATGAATGTACGAAAATGGAAAAATGAGACCTGTTGAATCTATTCTGAGAATGGAAAAAAAAGACTAAGGCAGGAGGATCATGAGTTCGAGGCCAGCCTGGACTACATACAGATACAGTGTCACCATCTCTTAAAAAATAATAATGCTGGGATGTACCTCAGTGGTGAAGTGTTTGCATAGCATGTACAAGGCCTGGATTTGATCCCCAGTACTGCAAAATAAATAAGTAAATACCAACTCGATTTGTTTAAAAAAAAAGAAGAATTTAGTGTCCCTTCATTTCATTGAGAAAATAAAGCTTGAAAACGTTTCTAGAAAATGTCCACTGAGGTAGTATGTTTTGGAAATGCCATTTGGATGTTTTGTTGCTTTTAATAATTGACATTAATTTTAGCTCTGTTATTTCATCTGCAAAAGAAGAATTCAGATGCAAACCAGAAATGTAATTCAGTGGGTCTGCAAAGGAAAAATAGAAACAGTACTGAATATAGTATTCAAGATTGAAAATCATAAATACATGTATTTATTGTTTACCTATAAAGTGTAATTTAAAAGTTTTCACAAGTGTTTACTGTTTAAAGATGTAACAGTGATGAAACCTGTAATGAGATGTCTAATTTTTTTTTTTTTGGCTGTACTGAGGCTTGAACTCAGAGCCTTCACCTTGAGACACTCTGCCAGTCCCCCACTCCTCTTTTTTTTGTGATGGATATTTTTGAGATAGGGTCTTTCGAACTGTTTGCCTGGGCTGGCTTCAAACTGAGCTCCTCCTGATCTCTGCCTCCTGAGTAGCTAGGATTATAGGTGTGAGCCACCAGTGACTGGCTCTAATATTTTTCTTTTTCTGTTCTAGAATGTATGACAGCATGTCCACAATGGTGTACATAAAGGAAGACAAATTGGAGAAGTTACTCAAGATGAAATCATTTCTAAGACAAAACAAGTAATTCAGGGGCTGGAAGCGCTGAAGAATGAGCACAACTCCATTTTACAGAGTTTGCTGGAGACGCTAAAGTGCTTGAAGAAGGATGACGAGAGCAACCTGGTGGAGGAGAAATCCAACATGATCCGCAAGTCCTTGGAAATGCTGGAGCTTGGCCTGAGCGAGGCGCAGGTGCGACTGGGGCTGGCTCAGTTGTGACTGAATGCAATGCTTTGGAGAGGTGGAGACCCCATTTGAAATGTGCCTTAACTAATGTGGAGGGAAGTAAAGAACCACTTACATATGGGTTGTATCTGTTATATGACTATTGACTTGCTAACTGAACTTTAACCACATCTACCCCTCTGCATCATTTAGTATTTGATTTGGCCCTGTGTCAAAAAAAAAAAAACAAACAAAAAACAAACTGCTTAAGTAACACAGACATGTGTGAATGTGCACAGAGATAGGCTATCCTGGCCAGATTCCACAGCTGCCTGGTCATCAGGGCTGCTTGTGTTCCTGTCACCTGCCACACTACACACTGGCAGCTTGTCTCCAGGAACAGGGGACAGGAGAGGAAGGGCATGCTTCTTCCTCCTAAGGCTGCTTCCTCAACATTGTGTACAACACTGTTTACATTTCATTGGCCATAACCTTCTTCCATGACTGCACCTTGTATGAGGGGGCTGAGGACTGATGTTTTGTCCACTTACAGTTTAGAACCTTACACCTAAGGAGAAGAGAATTGGTATTGGCCAGCAACTTGTAAACTCTGTAGTACACCCCAGGGCCAGGGTGTCTCATTATTTTTTTGAGGTGGAGGTACTGGGGCTTGAACCCAGGGCCTATATCTTGAGCCACTCCACCAGCCCTTTTGTTTTTTGTTTTTGTTTTTTTTTTTGGTACTGGGGATTGAACTCAGGGTCTCATGCATGCGAGGCAAACACTAAACCACTGAGCTATATCCCCAGCCCTAGCCCATTTTTTTGTGAAGGTTTTTTTTCCAAGATAGCATCTCGTGAACTATTTGCCCAGGCTGGCTTCGATCCGTGACCCTCTTGATCTTTGCTTCCTGAGTAGCTAGGATTACAGGTATGAGCCACCTGTGCCTGGCTGTTTTATGTTTTTGTCTAAAGCTTCGTTTCTATTATGTTTGACGTAGAGATGGAAACACTGGACACGTGGGTTTTTTCCCTCCTGATAACTCCTGGCTCTGCCAGCAGATCTTTGGTAAAATTCAACATGCTGAAGTGGCTCTTTTCTTAGATTTTTGCTTGTGTAGTGGAAGAATGAGAGAGAAGAGGGGTTGTTGCATCACCAGTTTTGCTTTCATGAAGGAAGTGACCATTCAGATCTGGGTACAGATACTAGAACTTTAACTGTTTTCCTTTAAAGAAAAAAATTTTTTTTTGGGTGCTGGAATGGAACACAGGGTCTCACATGTGTTAGGCAAAGTGCCTACCACTGAGCTACACCCCAAGCCTTTAGACCTTAAAATTTTGTTTGGATGTTGTAAACCTATTATTTCCCAGGTTCTGTTGAAAGGTGAAATGAGTGTGAATTTCCTTTTTCAGTTTGGCAGTTGATAGGTTTTTTAAAAAGGACAAAAAGCCTACCTTTTGGACTTTGAGATTTTAGACGTAAGAGGATGGTGACACAGTTACTGTTATGAGGGGAAGGGCAGTTATATGATCTATAGAGGGAACAGGTGAACCTAATATTTTCCCTCCTTCTGTACTTACACCCCTGGGAACTTCTTGTAGCCTTGAGCAGGTTTTCCCCAGGAGCCACAAGCGCACCACAGGTCGAGCACTGGAGCAGCCAGTAGGTTCTGTGACAGAAATAGACTGAATACACTGGTGCCTTTGGATTCTTTGTGGTAGCTATAGAGAGTCTTCTCTTGCCTTCAATGTGGAAGCAGATCCTACCCCATCACCTTCCTGTGCTCTGCACATGTGTGTACACACACCCTCACATGGAAAAGGGCTGGTGCAAAGTTATGTTAGGGCTGCCTGCATAGAAAGTCAGATGCATCAGAAGAGGACACAGATGTCCATTGCTAGCCATTCTGTGCTCTCACATAGAAAGAATGGATGTATTTTGTAGCTGTTCTGAGCAACATGATACTTTTTGTCACATCACAGTATACAGTGTGTGGCTGAAGGGTGAAAGGAGAAATAAACAGCAGATTGGAGTTACATGTACTGTGGGCAAAACATCTGTAAATACAAGCTAGAGCGTCACACTGCTCATGTGGATGGGAAGGGCTCTTGTGGGATGGCATCTTCAGTGTGGAAATGTCTCTTCTGCTTAGGTGATGATGGCTTTGTCAAATCACCTGAATGCTGTTGAGTCGGAGAAACAGAAACTGCGTGCACAGGTTCGTCGTCTGTGCCAGGAGAATCAGTGGCTGCGGGATGAACTGGCCAACACACAGCAGAAGTTACAGAAGAGTGAGCAGTCTGTGGCTCAGCTGGAGGAAGAAAAGAAGCACCTGGAATTCATGAACCAGCTAAAGAAATACGATGATGACATCTCCCCCTCGGTGAGTGGCTCTTTCCTCAGTGTGGTGCTCAGGAGGTAGGTCCTACTGTAGAACTGTGAGTGTCTTCTCCCCTGAAGGGATTGTTGCATTTAGCAGGACCATGGCTGGAGGTGGGGCAGTGGAGGCCCCCCTTGCCTACAAGGCATAGCTGCAGTGTATTTTCATATGTGATTTTTAGAACAGTGATCAGAAAATGTAAAGATGCTTTGTAAGTACAAGGCTCCACCATCCTCATTGGCAAGCCCTGCCACAGTTTGAATGCTGCTGAGCTTCCCTACCCCTCCCTACCCTTCAGACCTCCATACTCATCAGCTATTGGATTGGCAGGGCCCAGTCCTGTCATCTGTAATCCCAACTCTCCCATTGCTCTGCAGCTAACGGTGCCCTTGACTTTTATCTTTTTTCCCCCAGGCTACCATTTGACTCGCCTGCTGTCTCTCCCATGCCTCCTTGGTCTCCTTACCAGCTTATCTTTTTGTTCCTGGAATGTAGGGATTGCCAAAGGGTTTTCTTTTTCTTTTTCTTTTGATTGTCTTAAGATGTTTATTCTAGTCTCAATTATTTTTTTTTGGCAGCACTGGGGTTTGAACTTAGGTCCTCACACTTGCTAGGCAGGTGTGCAACTGTTGAGCTGTTTATCTCTGATTCGGTTAGCTTTTTTAAGTAAACTTTTTTTATTTTGGAATAATTTTAGATTGACAGGAGAGTTTACTTTTTCCTAATGTTACCATCTTATGTATCCAAAGAATACATGTTAAAACTAAGAAAGTAACACGGTTGTGTAACAATTAACTAAACCATAGACTTTCTTTGGATGTCACTAGTCCTTCTAGTAAGCCCTTTTCTGTTCGAGGATTCAGTTCAGGAACAGAGGATTTAGGGCTTTTTTTTTTTTTTTAATGCTTCCTTGGTGCCAAGCATGTTTGTGTACATGCATAATCATTATTCTAGGGAGTTCCACATTTGTGTTTCTAGTCCAAGCCCCTATGCTGAAGCCCCTGGAACAGTCTTGTGTGTAGCTGCAGGAGACCTGCACTTACCCTTTGCCTTTTCTGCTAGGGCCACCATAACAAATGCCACAGGCGGGGCAGCTTGAGCAACACTTACTTTTCCATAGTCTGGACTGTGGAACTTTAAGATCAGAGCAGGCTGTCAGCAGAGTTGGTTGTGGTGGAGACTTGCTTCCTGACTTGATGTGGAGAGCATGAGTGTACTCTCTTGTATCTCCTCTTATGAGGACACAGTGCCATCCTGAGCCCCACCCTTTGACCTTATCTAACCCTAATCACCTCCTAAGGTTCCGTCTCCAAGTGCCACCCCCTTGGGGTTGGGTCTAATCGTGTGGATTTTGGGAGGTGGGGCAGTTCAGATGGTAGCACTCTTGATTCATGAGGCTTACCCTGTTTCTTCTGCACATCTCCTCTAGAGCAGGAGACTGCTGTGAGTAACAATACTTGGAGATGTTGTTGCCAGCCAGGGATTTACCTGGAACATGAGAAAAGGGGAGACCTAACTCCATAGAACCAAGTGTTTTTTAAGCTTTCTATTTTGAAAAAATGTCAAAATTGGAGAAGCCATACTTGGAACTAATTCCTTTTGAGTGATTGTTTCTTCTGGACTGTGTTCAAATAGGAGGCATGTACCACATGCTACTCCCCTCCTGCTGCCAGGTGAGGTTCACTGGGCCAAGGATGTCCCTCCCATGGAGTCCCAGGCCCCAGGTAGACTGAGGGAATTTGCCATGGCACAGCACTTTGTTTTCTCATTGATTGTTTCAGCAGTAGCCCTCATAGCACTTTTCACTTGGATACAGTTCATGATTGTAAATTGCATGTAGCTGTTCCATCACCTTTTTTTTTTTTCTGGGGGCAGGTGGTACTGGGTTGGAACCAAGCACCTAGGCAAATGGTCTAGAGCCAAACCCCAGCTCTTGTCCTGTTCTTTAGTTGCCTTTCACCTGGAGTAGTCCTCAGTTTTTGTGTTTCATGACCTTTGTATCTTTGAAGAATGCAGGCCCATTACCTTATGCACCGATCTATAGGGAAGCATGACTCACAGATGTAATGCTGGCAGGTTTCTAGCTGCTCTTAGAACTCCTGCAGTAAGTCTGTTGTAGACTCAAGAGCAGGGGAGTCCAGCCCCTCCATTTCTGTGGTGATTTGTTTGCAAATAAGGTTTCATTTCAAGTAAGGCTTTCCCTGCTTTGCATGAATGCTCAGAACACAGGCAAAATCCAAGGCATAGAAATGCAGTCATGGTGTCTTGTTACACCGTAGCCTGCATTTAAGTATTCTGAGTTCCAATCTAGCAAGTGGTTCATACTTGCTTTTTTTTCTTTTTCAGGACCTTGCACATAGGCAAGCATATTTTATTACTCTTTGTTAAACTGATGGATAGGCCACATTGTGGATGATTCTATACTTGATCTTAAAAACAGGCAATTTTTTGTGAGATTTTTAAAGTAAATTTTATGTTTAAGATTTTCAGGCAGATTTCTTTGATTGTAGCAGGTATATCCCAGGCATTTTGTTTTTATGCAGAATAATTTTCTTTGTTGGTCTTGATAATATCAGCTATGCTAGCTAGAAGGAAGTCACCTACTTCTCATCTTGTCACTCCCCACATCTAGTCTCCAGCTCAGTCCTGTTGTTTTACCTCATACTCTTCCACATCTCTTTCTTCTTCACCTAGATAATTCAGCACCCTCTCAGTGTCACATTACCTCTTCTTACTCCTGCTTGTGTTTTTACGCAATGTCAGATTCATCTTACACAGACCGCTGACCATGTAGCCCATGTATGTATTCAATCTCCCCTTCTAGACTGTAAGCTCTTTATGGGTAGGATGTTTGTCTGAGTCTTCTTTGTTACTCCCATAGTATCTACCAATAAATATTTCTTGAATGAAAAAAAAAAGATTTTTCAGGCAGGATATGTAATACTGTAGAATGAAAGATGCTTTGGTTCTCTTTTATAGGAGGACAAAGACACTGATTCTACCAAAGAGCCTCTGGATGATCTCTTCCCAAACGATGAGGACGACCCAGGTCAAGGAAGTGAGTGGCTAGTGGTGTGGCTGTATGATTATATATGGCAGAGTGGTGCGTTCTTTCCCTCCGAGGACGTATTTGTCATAGTTAGTGGAACCTTAGCACAGTAGCCTGCTGTACGAAAGTACAGCAGGACAGCAGATTGCCTTTTTTCTTTTTTCCCTCGAGACATGGTCTCACTATATATAGCACAGGCTGACTTCAAACTCAAGATCCTCTACCTCAGCCTCTCAAGGATTGGGATTATAGGCATGTACCACTATGCCCGGCAGGATTACCTTTGTTTCCCCAAGAATCTAAAATAGTTTATTTGTGTTAGGATATAGTAGTGTGTAGGACACACGTTGGTAAATAGATGTGCATGCACTGTGCAGTCATGACCTGTGGGTTCTTGCAGGGTGGAAGAGGTCAGAGTGACTGCTTCCTTAGTTTCACACCCAGAGGAAGTGTCATGGCATTGTTAGCTGATGGGACACCATCTCTAATAGATAAGTCACATTGTGGATACCAGAGAGTGCTCGAAAAACAGTGAATTAGTGTAGGGGTTAACTTGAATGAGAGCTAGCTGGGAAGGTGTTAAGTGAACTGTTAAATTAACTGCACAGTTGTCCTAATAACCTCTCTGAAGTGTGCCTTCTCTGTGCAGTCCAGCAGCAACACAGCAGCGCTGCCGCTGCTGCCCAGCAGGGTGGCTACGAGATCCCTGCCCGGCTGCGCACGCTCCACAACCTGGTGATCCAGTATGCTTCGCAGGGGCGCTACGAGGTGGCTGTTCCACTTTGCAAGCAGGCCCTTGAAGACCTGGAGAAGACCTCAGGCCATGACCACCCTGACGTAGCCACCATGCTCAACATCCTGGCCCTGGTGTACAGGCCAGTCCTTCACTTTCTGCACTGACTCGTACTTGGAGACAACTCTTCCCCAGCTTGTCCCATGAAATATGTTTTAGCTTTATCATCTACTTAGCTTCAGATGCCCAGGGCTCAAACCAAAATATTTAGCCAGCTATATGGCAAGGGTCTCACCGAGCTGGAGAAGGCGTTGCCAGGCCAGACTTTCTAGAACAGCCCGACATACTCAGCTATTTTAACTTTTTTCTGTGAGATTCTCTTGTAGCTCAGGCTGGCCTTAACTTGAGATCCTCCTGCCTCTTCCTCCCAAATGATTTCACCATTTTAGTACTAAGGGGCATTTAATTTTAAGCTTTTTTGGGCCACTTTAATATATCAGTGAACATTTTTCTAAGTGTTGTCTAAAAATTTGGATGTTTTTAATCTAAGATGGGTTAGCATGTAACGGTCTTGGTACATATTGCCAAACTGCTCTTTAGGGGGTTGGCACTCTCCACACTCTTGCCCCACTATCCCCTACCTGGGCAATGTTAGTCACCTCTCCCCTTTTGTCAGTAGATGAGTGGGATGTGTTTTAATTCACATTTCTTTGGATATTTTTAGTCATCTGTATCTTCTTGTGAATTTTCTAATGTCTTGCCCATTTCTTCTCTCAGGATTTCAGTGTATATAGTGTTACACTTTGTTTTAATTTTGACTCTGAATTTCCTAGTATGCTTGTTAAGTTCCCCTCTCCCAGAGCTCCTAGTTGAGCAGGTCTGGGATACGTCCAGGCTTCTAACAAGTTCTAGCTTAGGTTGATTGCTGCTCAGAGGGCTCAGCTCAGACATGGTGTTCCTTCTGATACAAGGAACACAAGCTCTGTACAGTGTCCTAGACTGCCTTCCTAATTCTGTACAGGGCAGCTAACAGCACTGCAGGGTGGCACCATTGTCCTTGTGGGAGGGCCAAGTGCAGAAACTGATCAGGTCTGATCCAGAACTCACCTTGCTGATACATTTACTGATGGATTTTCTTCTAATTAATTTTTTCCTCTCACAGGGTTTATTTATTTATTTATTATAGTCAGAGTTTAACTTTTATCTCTCTACTTCCAGAATTTGCATTTGAAAAAGATGTAGGGGACTGGGTACAGCTTAGTGGTAGAGCATGTGCTCGGCATGTATGAACCCTGGGTTCAACTCCACCACCAAACAATAATAGTTATATTGATTGTTGATTATAGTAACCTACATCTAAACACTTAATGTGTGTTTTTCAATTTAGGGACCAGAACAAATACAAAGATGCAGCTAATCTACTGAATGATGCTTTGGCTATCCGTGAGAAAACTCTGGGCAAAGATCATCCCGCGGTTTGTATATCTGATTCTTTCAATCTTTTACGTTTTATTTTCCCCAGTACATTTTTGTCCAGCTCATCCCAATGTCAAGCTCAACAGGGATGATCTGAGAACTGTCTTGTCCCAGATGGCACAGGTAGGGCTTTGCCTGCGCAGGTAGTGACAAGCTTCTTGGGTGGCAGCTCTGATACTCACACATGGCAGTCACTCCTGATTTGTTGCTAGCTACCACCTCAAATGGATCACTGACTGTATTTTTTTATCCTAAATGAAATTGCATGTCCTTCTCTAGATTTTTCTCAAGAAATTATATTGTCTTTTTATTAGAATCTGGTCAGTTTTGCAGAGATCTGTCTGTTTTGGTTGACTTTGTGGTTTCCAGGGAAATTAAAAAGAAATCAAGATCATGTTAGTGTTGATTTGTGGTGTGGTCTCTCTCATAGTGAATTTCCCTGTTCCTCTGACCTACAGTCCATTCTTTAATTCCGTGAAGAGGGTTCACCATATGTGTAGAGAATGTATGGGTCTGGGATGTGGATTGCCCTGTGTGATACCTCTCACATTGGTTTTTTGTGGCCTTCTGTGTTGGCAGGTGGCAGCAACTCTGAACAACCTTGCTGTGCTGTACGGTAAACGAGGGAAGTATAAAGAAGCTGAGCCTTTGTGTAAAAGAGCCCTGGAAATCAGAGAAAAGGTATGAAATAATGAAGGATTCTTGTTCTCTGAGATTTAAGATTTTTATGTTTTGAAAAAAATTTCAATTTTAAGTCTTAAGACATGAACACTATGATATATTATTACTGATCATTTACTGAAAATAATTCTTTTGAAAAGGCTGATAGTCCCCAAAACAAAACCCAGTCTGCCTGCCCTGCCCAATCAGTGTGGAGGCCTTAAGGGAGGGCATGTTATGGATGGGCAGGGCCCAGTGTGCAGGACTTATGGTGCCTACTGTGGCTCAGAAATAGGGAGTCCCTGAGCTGCAGGCGGACAATGTTGGAACACTGCATTTGACAGTAGTGTGTGCTTGTTATTAAAGAAGATGCTTCAGGCTTTATGAAACTTAAAAAGAACAGATAATTATTTTCAGAACGTAAGATTAACTCAGCTATAAGTCAAGTCAATGTCATTGATCTTTAATGGCAGCTGCTACAATTTAGGATAACTAGGTGTTGAAAAATGTGCTGTGATTGTCTCAGCAGCACAGTGTGACCACATGCAGATGTGACAGTCAGATGTCAGGTCCATCCCATGTGTGACTGAAGATCTTGGTTCAATTTGGGGTGTCTAGTGGTTGTTTATTATCAGTGATATGGAGAGATTAAGCATTTAATTCTGACCTTTATGGTAAGGTATTGGGAGAGAGAAAATGTAAAGGGGCTCATTCTCAAACTATATAGGTAATATTTTATTTATGTTGTCATCTGCATGGTAATTATGAAATGAAGTGGTCAGATTTGCATGTGCTTTGGTTAAATTGGAAAGCACAAAAGTATTAAGAATTAGGCCAGGTGCTGGTGTTTTATGCCTATAATCCTAGCTATTTGGGAGGCTGAGATTAGGAGGATCAAGGTTCAAGGTTAGCCCAGACAAATAGTTCTGGAGACTCCATCTCCAAAATAACTAGAGCAAAATGGACTGGAGTGTGGTTCATGCAGTAGAGCGCCCTGAATTCAAACCCCAGTTCCACCAAAAAAAAAAAAAAAAAAAAAAAGATGATGAGCTTTATAATGTGATCAGACTGGCTAGGGGAGTGGTTCAAGTGGTAGAGTGCAGCTTTGCAAGGGCAAGGTCCTGAGTTCATTCCCCCCAGCCCCCCCCAATAAAGGATCTGCCAATTAAGCTAGGTGCGGTGGTTTACACCTTTTGTCTCAGCTACTTGGGAGTCTGAGGTGAGAAGAGCCTAGGAGTTAGAGGCTGGCCTGGGCAACTTAAGCGAGACCCTATCTCAAAAAAAAAAAAATTATTGTTCAAATATTGCCAAATTGTTCAAATACTTGTGATTTCATTTATTCGGACTCCCTTGCTTGCTGGAGTCCCTCTCCAGGAGCACGGTGCACAGGCAGATGTGGGACAGCAGAGCGCATCACCTGTAGGGTAGAGCTGTGGGAGAAGAGGGAGCAGGAGCTCCTCCAGCCCCAGGGCATGCAGGTGTTGGGGTTGGCTTCCCAGAGTCCATCAGTGGGTAGCTGAGTTCACGCCTTCCTAGGAAGGGGAGGCAGGGAATGTGGAAAGGGTGCAGGGGTGGAGTGCTGGTGATTAGGTTAGTAAGGCACAGAGTTGAAAGGAACAATGCTTGGCCCAGGTGTGGAGGGAGTGGCACATGTCTGTCCCTCCCTCTGTACCAGGCACCTTTCTAGTGAGGGCGATGAGGTCATTTGGTAGCGTGCAAAGCCCTTGCATTCTTGGGCTTGTGCTGTAATAGTTGAGGTCAAGAAAGAAAGAAGAGCCATGTGCTTGTGAGGCAACTGGGGGTTGGGTGAGGACTGCCTGACTTTGGATGAAGGGATGTTCCCTTTGAGGGGACCTAAAGAGGACCCCACGGGATGAGTTCTTGATAGCTGGAAAGGTAGGAGAAGAGCAGCTCAGCAGCTGGGATGGTGTGGTGGGCTCAAAGAAATAAAGCCCAGCTTCCTTATCTTCACAGTGTACATGGTGATGGTACCTACAACTATTAGTAGTGCAAGTACCCACACTTGGGAGGTTGAAGAAGGAGGATCAGGATTTGAGGACAGCCTGGGCAAACCCTGTCTCAACATTCCCCACCCCTACAAATGGTGTCTGCCATGCAGAATTATCACAGGAATTAAACAACTTAAAGCAGCTAAGGAACATTAGCACATTCCCTTTCTTCCTCACAAGAATAAGAATCAATAGATTCTGGTTCTGTTTTTCTCTCTCTTTTTTTGGTGGTAGTAGGGTTTAAACTCAGGGCCTTGCCCATGAGAGGCAGGCACTCTACCACTTGAACCACATCCCTTTATTTTGTTTTCGAGATAGGGTCTTACTAATCTTGCCTGGGCCGGTTTTGAACTCTTCATCCTCCTGCCTTTGCCTCTTGAGAAGCTGGGATTATATGCTTGCCCCACCATACCAGGCTGATTCTGGTTATTTCTATTGTTATATGGCATGGAAGCCATTTGAGGATTTTAAAGCTGAATGTGGAGCACAGTCGTGTTTATGTTTTAGAAGGATCCTTCTGGCAGGAGGGTGCAGAGTGGATTGATGGTGGTGATGACGCAGAGTTTTTGATTCATTATTTTTTATCCTCAGGTTCTGGGAAAGGATCACCCTGATGTTGCCAAGCAGTTAAATAACTTGGCCTTACTGTGCCAGAACCAGGGCAAGTATGAAGAAGTAGAATATTACTATCAAAGAGCCCTTGAGATCTACCAGACGAAACTGGGACCTGATGACCCCAATGTAGCCAAGACAAAAAATAACCTGGTATGTTATGGATGTGGCCAGGATCATTTTCTTTCTAAAGGTTTTTTTAACCTGTAGATGGAAATGTATGCCTTATTTACATTTGAAAGGAACAAAATATACTAAATATTTAGAAAAATATTTACGATATTGTTATGCTGGGGAGTACACTGTGACATTTCTTACAATATGTTATAGTTGAATTCACCTCCCTATTGTTCTCCTGTATCTCCCCCCATTCTTAGAATAGTTTCAGAAGGTCTTATTTTTCCATTTCATCCATGAGTATATAATATTTCCACCATATTTATACCCTCCTGCACCTTTTCCTTCTGTTACTTCCCTCTCCCACTGGTACCAGCACCCAGACAGAACCAATTTTACCTTTTCGTCTTCTGCTTTTGAAAAAGAAAAGACATTTTTGTTTAAGATATTTGTACAGAGAGTTTCATTATCACATTTCCATTTGTATATGTATTATATCCCGAATTGGTTCCTCCTCCCATTTTTCTCCTTTCTACCATATTCTCCATCTTATGGTGATTTCAACAGGTTTAAAAATTCTGTATTCATTCTTGTATAGAAAGTATATCATCCATATACACCTCATTTACTTGCTTCTTTTTTACCTTCCCTCTCCTGTTAGTGCTGTCCCCTTAGTGTAACCTGTTTTTCAGTCTTGTCCTTTGTTGTTTTGGTGTCTGTTCATTGGTCAGTGGGATTTTTGCCTTTATTTTATTTCAAGGCATCCTGCTATCTGAAACAAGGAAAGTTCAAGCAAGCAGAAACACTGTACAAAGAGATTCTCACTCGTGCACATGAACGGGAGTTTGGTTCTGTGGATGGTAAGGAATATGCTCCTACTTCTAAGTGTATGTTACTGTATAATGTATTTAAAAGAGGGATTTCCAATTTGAACTTGGCAGTAACACCCAAGACCTCATAATACTTTTTAGATAGAAGTCGATTTGAATTTTATAAATGCTTTTCTAAATGGCACTTAGAAAAGAGGATATGGCACAGGCTGATCATTCACTTATCCATTGCTTAGCAGACATGTCCTGAGTATACTGTGCCTGGCCATTAGTGAGCACTCAGTGAGGGATAAACCCCCCTGCAGTGAGAGCTCAGGGCTACCTAATCCTCACACCTTTTCATGCTGCCTCTCTCAGAGTCCATGTTTGCTTCAGGCACAACATAAGCCTACTAACTCCAGCTGTCTAGGATAGTTGTGTAATCCAGTAGTTCTCCAAGTGTGGCCAGGCTCTAGCAACTCAGTACCCTTGGGAACCTGTTGGAAATAAAAAATTCTCCACCATACCCTGATTTGCTGGGTTGTTTGTCTTGAAGAGCCAAAGCCGTATCTCCTTTATATTTCTTCAGACATTATAAATGCTTACTACACAGTTATGAAATCTTTTATAGAATTTAAATTTCTCAGTAAAGGGGAATGCTTGCCTAGCATGTATGAAGTCCTGGGTTTGATCCCAGGACCAAAAAAAAAAAAAAAAAATTGGCCAATTAAAAATATTTGTGTGTGGGTTTTTTCCTTCTTCAGGTTGTCCATAAAGCATTCAGAATGAGGGAAATTCAGTTATTATTATTGTGAAGGGAACCTCAGAATATGAAGGGAAAGGGGTGTTTTATTTAATAACATGTATATGTTAGTCCACTGAAGCATTTTATGTACATCACTGTGTTATATCCCTAGGAAAAAGAAATCCCAGAATTTTCCCTCCTGTGTGTTTCTGTCTTGCTCCCTCATGGTCCACAGTGCCTGCTGAGGTTAGAGCAATGAAACCCAATTGACAGCTAGGAGTCGACTGATCTGCCATTTTTGGGGATTTCTGAGTTCCATGTCAAATCTGGGGCCAGTTACTCCACATGTGTAGTCTGCCTGTGATGTTTGCAGCGCTTTTCCCAGCTCTGTGGTCACTGCTCACTTCAGACTCAGGAGTGTAACTGTGTCTCACAGCCCCAGTGGGAAATGACATTGGAAATAGATGTTCCTTTCTGGTGTCATTAATGCCGTTGGGGACATCAGCCAGGACATGCATGTGTTCCACCAATGTGGCACAGAATGGCAACCAGAGTGGGTTAATTTTTTTCTGTTACAGAGTTCCTAGAAACCACTTTGGAAACATCTTTCAAAAGTATACTTTGGTGCTGGGATTGGTGGTACATACCTGTAATCCCAGCTAATTGGGGAGGTGGAGGTGGAGGTAGGAGGATTGTGGTCTGAGACTGGCTCTGGCCAAAGAGCAAGACTCTATCTAAAAAGTAAAGAATGAAGAATTGGGGCATGGCTTAAGTGGTAGAGAGGTTGAAGACCCGAGTTCAAACTCCTGTATTGGCAAAAAAAAAAAACCAAACATGCACTTCACTTATTTGCCAGTAAGTGGAGTAGTAAACCTCCTACTCTGAAGATGCAGTAGGCCTGCAATTTGCCGCTGTGGGGACAGTGGAGCTGTGTGACACGGTAGGATCAGCTGCTTCCGCGTAGAGAGGCAGAGAGAGTTCTCAGCCTGCTCGGCCTCAGAAGCTTGCTGACTTTGTAGAGGTGCCAGGCCCCTCTCCTAATACTTCTTTAAACATTTTTTACTCTTGGGGGACTGGGAGTGTAGTTCATTGCTAGAGTACTTTCCTAGTATGCACAGGATCCTGGGTTCCATCCCTCGTCACCCCCACCCGTCCACAAAAAGTGTGTCATTTGGTTTCCTTGTTATTTGTTAGCTTTTTCTTGCTCAAAATGTGGAAGTCCAGTTAACTGAGTTTTCTGTACTGGGTGTATCCTCCATGCAGATGCTAAAAGGCCTTTTTTTCCCTTGGGTAAGAGCACTTTTCATATCAAAAAATATTTTTCATAAACATAATTTTTAAGATTCATTTCCTCCATGACATGAGTCTGTTCATTGTCTAGTGGGATATATTAATGTTCTGAGAAGTTAAGATTTAAAGGAATATTGATTTGTATCTTTTCTGCTTTTGCTCCTAAATCCTCTTACTTTTCTTTAACTTTTATTTAGTGCTAGGTTTCTCAAATTTTAAATGCTTTCAGGTCCTGTGTGAGCAAAGTTACATTACAAGGTGAATGACTGTCACCTACCTGTGCCCTCCATGGACTTTCTTCTTGATCTGTCCAAGGTGATACCTAAGAAGGAGCATACAAAAAAAAAAAAAAAAAGAAGAAAACCTTTGCAATCACTGAGAACTAACAACTTTCTTTTGCTTAGTGGGTTCTTATTCTTCAGCTTAAGGAATGTTATTTTTAATTTCCTAGATGAAAATAAGCCTATTTGGATGCACGCTGAAGAAAGAGAAGAGTGCAAAGTAAGGCTGTACTATTTTGAGGAATTTTCTAAATTGTATGCACTGTATTCACAGTCATTACTCACTTGAAATTGTTTCTCATAATTTAGGGAAAGCAGAAGGATGGGACATCGTTCGGAGAGTATGGTGGCTGGTACAAAGCCTGTAAAGTTGATAGGTAGGTGGGTTGATCTGAAAAATTAGAAAGCCTGGGACAGTAATGACTCTAGGGGCAGCTTGCAAAGGGCCAATGGTAAACTTTCCTAGTGTTGTAGTTATGTTGTCTCATATTTCCCCCAAATTCTGATTTTAATGCCCCACAGTTTTTGTAAATGAGATCATTTGCATACGCAGAACCCATCTGCAGTAGAATGGGTTTGTCCATTAACACTGGTTTGCCAAGGATAACCACCTAATAGAAGGAAATGGAGATACTTATATGATGAAAACAGTGTTGAAGGCAGCTGCATAGCACACTCAGGGCTAACATGCAAGCAGGCCTTGCAGAGCCAGCCCTTAGCAAATCTTCCCTAGCTACACAGGGCGATGCTGACACTCTCCCTTACCCCCTTTTGCAGCTCTGGGGATGAGTATGAGCCCTACCAGGCTTGCCCTGGTGTCTCCTGAGTCTGTGCTCACCTCCTGCACTCAGGGCTGCCCTGGCCCCATCTAAGCAGCACGTGTTTCCTATTCAGCTGTGGTTCTTTTGTTTTAATTTCCTTTCTTTAGGATTCAGCTCCCCACTCATCTGTTTCGGAAAAACTTGCTGGACCCTAGTTTAGAATAAATTCTCCTCTGGGTCCCCATATCACTTACCATAATACATAAAATTTATGTATTTTCTTTTTCCCATTGCTGTGTAGTTGTCTCTTAAGACATGCAGATTGCCTTCTTTGTTTTTGTACCCGAGATGCCTAATGTTAGTGATAGGAAAAAACACCTCTCAAAGTACAGATCTGTACCAAAATGAATCTAGGTTTATTTCTAACTTTTTCCTTTTTTTCATGTTTCTGGGGTTTGAAGTCAGGGCTTTCTGCTTGCTAGGCAGGCACTCTACCACTTGAGCCATATCTCCAACCCTTTTTGCTCTAGCTATTTTTTGAGACAGTCTTACTTTTTGCTTGGACTGCCTGGATGGTGATCCTCCTACTTATACTTCTCATAGCAGCTGGAATGACAGGCACGCACTACCACGTCCAGATTTTTCTCTTGATTTGGGATCATCTGAATTTTTTTGCTCAGGCAGGACTCAAGCTACCATCCCCTGGATCTCCACCTCCTGAGCAGCTAGGATTACAGTGTAAGCCACTAGTGCCAGGCTGTTTCTAAGTTTTTAGTAAAACTTCTCTGTCAGGAATGCAGCCACACTCCATCCAGTCTCTTCCTTTCTTCAAACACACTGACATCAGAGCGGGAGACCCTGGCTTGCTCTGGTGATAGGCAAGAGGCTGTTAGCAACAACACAATGATTTGTCCTTATTCCTGCCTGCCATGGGCCAAGAAGCTCTGCCTGCAGAGGGAGTATGCTGACCTCTGGATAGACCAGACTCATGCTCTTGTGGACAGTGGCCAGAGGTCTGTGAGAGTGACCAGGCCCCAAATAGATGCAGTGTCCACCTGCTGCAGGGACTTCTGCAGGGAGCATGGATAGGAGAGCTCTGTATAGCAGAGAAGCTTGAGCTGGAAGAACTCTGTAGAACATTGCAACTAAAACAAGGACTGTCTTCTCATGGTATCTCCTACTAGAGCAAACTGTAGCCTTGAGCCATTTCCTGGCCTCTGTGCCTGTTGGCACTGAAGCAGGAATGGAAAGTTAACACATTTTCACCAGAATACACATCTGACCGACCTTTAGATTATGTGTTTTTGATGGTGGTTGCCCTAGGTTTAAACATCATAGTTCTGTTATTGTATGCTTTGCTACAGTCCGACTGTTACAACTACTTTGAAAAACCTTGGAGCACTTTACAGACGTCAAGGGAAATTTGAAGCTGCAGAAACATTAGAAGAAGCTGCCATGAGATCACGTAAACAGGTGAGTTTGACACCTCTAACTTACCTGTTAAAACTGGGAGATTGTTTTTTATATGGCTTTCATGATTTAGAAAGAAAATTTGGGTCTGGTGGAATGGCTCAAGTGATAAGAGCTCCTGCCTAGCAAGCATGAGGACCTGAGTTCAAATCCCAGTGGCACCAAAAGAGAAAAAAAAATTATAGGAAGAAATTTTTGGACTGGAAATAAAGCTCAGTGTTGAGTAAATAGAAAAAGTAGAACCCTCAAATTGCTAGTGGAAATGTAAAGTGGTGCAGTCAGTTTAAAATAGAGTTTAGTGGTTCCTCCAAAAGATAAACGCTAATTACTATTACCCAGCAGTTCCACTCCTAGGTATATACCTGTATAATCAGCTTTCTATTGCTATAGCAAATAATCTGCGATAACCAACCTATGAAGAGAAAAGGGTTATTTGTCTCATAGTTTTAGAGGTTTCTGTGTAGTATCGATTGGCCCTGTTGCTTTTGGGCCTGTGGTGGGGTGCTCATGGTAGAGGGAGTGAAAGAAATGAAGAGGAAGGGACCAGAGTCTTAATAACCCCTTTGAGGGCATGCTTCCAGCTACTGGCAGAACTCTCACTAGGCCCCACAACTTCTCAAGTGTACTATCTGGGGACTAAACCTCTAAAACATGGGCCTTTGAGGGGACCTCCCCACTGTAGCAATATCCAAAGGAATTGAACATAGCTACTCAAAACTGTCTATTTTCACTAGCTGAGGTAGTTGTATTCTATAAAGTTGCCATAAACATTGAATTTGCAAACACTGAGCCATTAATCTTAGGGGATAGTATGGGGCTAGGTTCTTTGGGCCTTGTTTAAGTGTTTTTCTTTATAGATACCTTGTGTAGTGCATATTACTGATTTATTAACACTGAGGTCATAGCCAGTAGCGAAGCTCCTGTAACACACACATGTGCTCTATGAGGCAGGGCACAGCTTTGTGTGCCCTTCACACACAGGCACTTCAGCACTGTGCATGGGGCTGTCTAAAGCAGCTGAAACACTACCACAGAGCCCAGAAGCGAGGCACTAAGTGGACCCAGAATAGGATGCTCTTTTGCAGGGTGGGAGCTGAGACAAGAAGGCAGTGCACCATGCTTTCTCCACTCTGTGCATGTCTGCAGATGACCACAGCACTGGCTCTTAGTGATTAGGATTGGCTGTGTTTGTATTGCCAGTGTTCACAGCAGCATTACCACGTGTCCAGGAGGTCCAAAAGCCCTGAGTGTCCATCACAGGGTGAATGGTGCTGTGTGGTAGAGCATTGCTAGGTTGTAAAGAGGAATGAAGTACTGATGCATGCTATAGCAAGACTGACACTGAAAACTCCAGTATGTGACAGGAGCTAGACACAAATGCAGACAACTATTGTGTGGTTCTACTTGCATGAAATACTCATAACAGACCAAAAGCAGATTGGTAGGCTTGGGAGGGAGAAATGGGGAGTGACTACTCAGTAGATAAGAGGGCTCCTTTTGGAGGTGGCAAAATGTCCTGGAGCTAGGGGAGTGATTGCATAGTCCAAAAGTACACTGAAATTCACTAATGTATATCTTAAAGCGCTTAATTGTGTTATTTGAGTTTCATCAGTTTAAAGAAATACTTAGATAAAAAATGAGGAAGACTTTTGGGTCAAAATGGCCTTTTTACAACATTTTATCTTGGAAAGTCCCAAACTTCATAAAAGTAGAGACGAGATGGCAGTTGAGGGGCTGTGCTTATCTGTACCTCACCTGGATTTGGCCATCATGCAGTGCCGTGTACAGGCTCGGTGTTTGTCTTTCCCCCACCAACCAACCATCCTCCCTCCTTGGAGCTGGCTTCCCTTTGCTGTAGTACAGATGCTAGGGTGGCTTCCTGTCTACCTATGCCACCAGGTCCTTGTCACTGTTGTCAAGTCACTGTTTTGTCAGAAGGCTGCGTATGTAGTTTACTAATTCAATTCTGTCAATTACTGGTTAGGATTTATTCTTAGTTTATTAGCTGGATTCTATAAAGAAGCTCTTTCCTTCTCATCTAGGGATATGTCAGGTATACTGAAATATAGTTTTTAGTTATTTATCTGTATTTATTTATGGCAGTACTGGGGTTTGAACTCAAGGCTTTGTGCTTGCTAGGCAGGTCCTCTACTGCTTGAGCCATGCCTCCTGCCCTGAAATATGGTGTATAAAGAAAATATAGGGCACTTGGAGGTATGGCTCAAGTGGTAAAGTGCCTGCTTTGCAAGTGTGAAGTTCTGAGATCAAATCCCAGTCCCACCAAAAAAAGGAAAGGAGGGAAGGAAGGAGGGCGGGACAGAGGGAGAGAAAGAAAATGCTTAATTCTTATAGTTTAATGATCAGTTTTAGAAGAAAGAGTGATGTATTTTTACACATATGTACATGTGGCTATGTGACAGTGGTGGGTTCCTTTTGTATATCTAGGGTGGGGCGTTTCTCCCTGTCTGGAGTACAGGTGGGCCACTTTTTGGCTGGGATTAGAATTGCCCATATATACCTTAGCCTTTTCTTCTTCCAGGGTGGCTGTGTCCTTCCCAGCATCCTTTCCTCACATGGCAACATTCTTACCTGAAGGCAAGGAGAAGCTCTTAGCCCCTCCCTTAAATTCAGACACCTACCTGGGCCCTCCAACTTATAGCTGGTGTGCAGAACAATTTCTGGGTGGGACCGGCTCTGCTGGGACATATGGACTGAAGCACAGGCTGTGCTCTCAGTGTTGTTTCTGTGATGCTGGGTGGCAGGTGGGACAGGTGATGTGTGGCATGTGCTGTGGGGAGTGGGGCTGTCACCATGTATGGGCTAGAAGGTCCAGGCCTTCCTTTAGAATCCAAGTTGTGTTATACAGTGAGCAGAGTGCAGCAGCCAGAATTGCAAAGGTCCTGACAAAGGACTCAGGGATGCCTTACTGAGGAGGGTCACTTCCTGTTGTGAGAGGAGGTCAGCTGCCTTCTGTTTGTGGCCTGTGCCTTCTGAGGAAGAATGCAAAAAGCAGAAAATATGCAGCATCCACAGAAGGATGTCAGACCTTCTGCATCATGGTTGTGCATGTTAGGGAAAGATACAGGGAATGGTCCCCCTAGGTCTTGATGTGCTTAGGTTTTCACTTGAACATGAGAGAAGGAGCCATCAAAGCCTAGGGCATGTGCTTGCTCCAAATGTCGCTCTGTGAGGAGTAAAAGTGTACTTGTAAGATGTCTTTGTAAGTTAGTGGCTAGTTTAAAAAACGTTATAGCAAGAATAAAGTAATCTGTGAGTTTTGAGCTATGTACTTATTTTGGAAGCCTAAAACACCAGGGTTCTAGGTGTTAAAACTGGGACTTTGCCAGCATCTTATGAAGCTTCTCAAACACATAGAAGAGATGAATGACTTCTATGCTTCTGTACCTGCCACCTAGACTGTGTTGTGAACATGTTAGATACTTTATCACATAAAGATGGACAGGAGTATCCATCTGCCAGTCCTTTTTTAAAAGCATATCAGATAATCTGCAGACATCAGTACTCTTCTTTACAAATCATTAACTAGAACTAATATATATAATTTTCTTTACAGCTTTTTTGAGGTAAACAGTTACATAGAGTGCAACACAGCTCTATATATATGTTTATAAGTTTTGGCAGTGTAGAAGATACCATGAAACCCAAACACATCATTGTCACCTTAGGAAGCCCCCTAACTTCTACTCCACACCTGTGGAACCATTGATCTAATTTTTTTCCCTCTGGTGATTAACAACTGGTCTTAAAAAGTCCCTCGTGAAGTTCACATATCTTGGAACTCCCTTCTAAGATGTAAGTGCTAATGGGTCAAAACCATTTTCCCCCACCTGGCTCACAGGGTCTTGACACTGTTCACAAACAGAGAGTGGCTGAAGTACTAAATGATCCTGAGAACATGGAGAAGCGGAGGAGCCGGGAGAGCCTCAACACGGACGTGGTCAAGTACGAGAGTGGTCCTGACGGAGGGGAGGAAGTGAGTATGAGCGTAGAGTGGAATGGGGTAAGTACAGTACACAGCTGGCCCGCACTAGGGGAGCTGCTGGCTCGCCCACCGGCTGCGCTCACTGGCCCTTCTCTGTTTCATGTGCTAGATCTTCTACTTTTCTCAAATTAAGTGCCAGGGAAGCTTTCTATAAGTTCCTAACTTCTGCTAACACTGAAGGCTGTTGCTTGAAGTAGTCATTTTCTTCTGCTTAGGAACCCATGAAAGCTGTCTGGCTTCCCTTTGAGCACTTATGCTGATTGAGTGTCCTGGCTGTGTAAAGCCTAAGCCATAGTCTGGTTTCACGATGCTCCAGGGATCAGTGTGGCAGACAACTAACTTGCTTCTCTAACTTGTCCATTTCATTGCTAACTCAGTGCTCCTAACTTCACTGAGCAGGCTGCTCTGGATTTTTTAGAATTAATTAGATTGCCTTAAAGGGAGATGCTGTTTAATTGGAATTTCTTTTTAGAAGAGAACAACTTAAAAAACGTTAGGGTGGCTGCTTCTCTCCCTCTCCTGCCTCAGTCTTAAACATTGTGTGTACTTGAGGAGCTCCATTCTTCACTTTGTCTGCTGGAGCTTTTTGGGTCAGGACCACCTGCCTGTATTTGGAACAGGCAGAACCCTGAGGGGCTGCACAGGCCCTGCCTGCTCCCACCAGCTTGCTCTGAGGAAGTTCCCTTTGCTGCTGCTCACCCAGTGTCACAGAGACCATATGGCTTCTGGATGCTTCCTCTAGTGGATTTCCATAATAGGTGGCCAAAGTCTTTGTGTGCTGGGCTGGAATCTGGAAATATACCCTCCTCAGGGAGAGCTGGATGCAGGATTTCACCCCCAGGTGCCCCTGGGTGTTCTGAAGATACTATAGCACTGCAGTTTGACCAGTTGTCACTGTGTGGTTTTTCAGAGTGTACTTTGGGGCTTCCTTAAGTTTGTGTTACTTTTTGAATTGATTTATTTTTTAGAATTTGCTATAGCTGTATCAGTTTGGGAGGAGCTAGCATCCTGACTAAACATATTGTAAAAAATATTAGTAGCCAAATTTCAGGGAGAACATTTTCTTAACTGTCTTTATCCAGCAGCTTTCTTGCTTTGGTTCTTTCTATGCCAAGACAACCAATCAGCATACGCTTTGACCGCTTAAGCCCAGTTGGGCAGTGGTCCCAAACTACAGTGAGGCCCAAAGTCCTCCTGCCTGGGCCGTGCTGTCAGAGCTGTGTACTGTACTCTTTTCTCTGGCACCTGCATGCTTTGTCCAGAAAGGCCCTCCCTGCTTGGCCTTCAGAGGCCTGCTTGCAGGTTTTTAACACTCCTGGGTGAAGTTCTGGAGGAACTTTTTCTTGAGACAGTATTTCTAGGTCCGTATTCACATCAGTCCTGTGACAGTAAAATTGTCAACAGCCCAGATCCACCCATGTCTTGAAGATGTACTTGGGGAGAAAGAGCACTGCTTTTACCTACCAGAGGGTGTGTGGTGCTTTCTCAGCAGACTATAGTAAGGGGCAGCAATGCTCCTCTCAGTGGAGACCGCTTCTTCCTCTTTTTCCTTTTTCTTTTTCTTTTTGTTGTTAGTGCTATCTGGGAATGGGACCCAGGACCTCATCCATGTTAGACAAATGCTCTACCACGAGCTATATCCCCAGCTTTTTAAACTTTTATTTTGAGACAGGGTCTAGCTATGTAGCCCAGGCTGGCCTCAAACTCGTGATCTTCCTGCCTCAGCCTTCCAAGCACTGAGATTACACCATGCCCAGCTTCAGAGCATACTTGTATTATTTTAAAAAGGCAGTATAGGGCCTGGGGCATGGCTCAAGCGATAGAGCTGTATGCCTAGCAACCACAAGGCCCTGAGTAAACATGGAGGTGTTTCTTTTTCATCAGCTGTATTGAGGTATTGACTGTATGCGATACATAAAAAGTCCATTTTAAGTGTCAAGTTTGGTTTAGCAAGCTGACTTGTCTCTTCTGCCACAGAGTATTTCTCCTGCTGTTTCTGTTTAAGTGCAGTTGCTTGAGATTGCACAGTAAACAGTTTAAAGATAGTTACTGTTGGCAATCACTTATTAGTGTGTACCAAGATTTTTTTTAGGCCTCAGGGGAATAGTTCAGTGGTAGAGTGCTTGCCCAGCATGCATGAGGCTCTAAGTTTGATCCCAGCACTGAAAAAAAATTTTTTTTCTGGTATTATATGTAATACAGATAAAATTGAAGTATAGATGTCAAGACCGATTGTCTCTCTTAGCTTCAGATTTCAAGTTTTATAAAGGTACCTTCATTATTCTTATTGCTTTACTTTATTATAATAAGAATTTGTTATATATTTCTTTTCTTTTTGAGACAGGGTCTTGCTATATAGCCAGTCTGAAGTCTGGCCTGACACTCAAGATCTTCCCACCTCAGCCTCCCGAGTGCTGTGATTACAGGTGTGCACCAGCACACCCATTTGTAGTGAGGAAATACCACTTGAATTTTATTTTATATTGGGGTTCTGCATGAGGTTTTAAGTTTTTAAAAAAGACTGGAGTGCTTTTTAAGACCTTGAGGACTTCTACATTAGAAAGAACATTTGATATCTTGGGCAGTCATAGCTTCAGCAGAGATGACTGAGTACAGGGATGAATGCTGGCTTTTGACTAAACCACAGTAGCTATTCACATAGGATGTTAGGCTTTCTCTCAATATTCAGAAATAGCATTTAAAACAGGGTAGTATGGTTAAGAGAAGGCTGACTAGGTACCAACGATTGCCCTGCAGACACTGGGTCTGTGTCCACCAGAATGGAGGTAGAGGAAAGAAGGTCATCAGGTGCTGGGGATTCACAGGCAGTTTATGAGGCAGATTATTGCCCTGGCAGGTCACTTCTCAGAGAGTACAGTCTGTCCCCTTCAGCTGTGTGGTAAAGATCATGGCCACACTACTTGGAAACACAGCTCCTTAGGCTCGCTTAGGTGTGAGGCAGGGGTCAGGCAGGCACTACCATAGTCGCTGAGCCCCTTCCATGTAGGGTTCTGCTTCTGAGAAGGCAGACGCCTTATGCCTTGTTGTCTTTCCTGGGTGAAACTGGATTTCCTCAGCTCTGGCCCACACGGCTTTGTGTTCACTGTGTGAAGCACACATCAGCCATGGGCGCCAGGTCCTCGCAGGATGTGAAGTCACTGTGTTGACAGTGGTCCTGAGGGACATATACAGCAACATATGACTTAGATGTCCATGGACCCTAAGCTCCTGAGGGCAGCCTCTCGTTTCTGCTGTCCTTTTTGTGTTGTGTGTTCAGGTGCTGGGGGTCTTCTGGGGTCTTGCAGAGGCAGCCCCCCAGCTGTTTCATCTTCTTTTACACTGCTCCCATGCTGAGAGTTTTACATGTTTTTAATAAGGCACTAAATTCTTAACCCAGGATTATTGGGGAATGGGATGTATTAGGAATGGATTATTTTTATTTTGAAAAATTATAGTAGAAAGACAACTAGAATATGCTAAAAAATAAATTTTAAAAATGCCACAGCATCTGTAATCTTATTATACATTGAAAAATTATCACTGTATATTTTACATTCAATATGTGATCAAATTAATTGCTGTTCAGAATTCACTTTGTAATGTGAATGTCTTTTATGACATAAAGATTGATATAAAGATTTGTCAGGATGCAGTGAACCTCCTAAGCCCTGAGCCCACATCAGTGGATGTTTGCCTGGGTTCTTGGTGGCCGCTGTCCTTCCCTCAGGTCCTGGGAGGTAGGATGGGGGTAGGTGCTCAGGTGTTAAGTGTAGGGCAGGACAGACCGAGCCTGAGATGTTAGACCTGTTAGATGCAGCTGGATATGGGCCTAGCTGGATCCCCTGGCCTGAGGGAGACGGTGGCTGGCCCAGGCTGAGCCTAGGCCTCCTTGCCCCTTTGCCCTTGTCACTTACCACCCCTGTGGCTCTGAATGTGTGTGCATGTCAGTGAGGTCCTTTTGGAACCTGGGAGAGGGAGGTAAGACTTCCTGCTTGGGGCAGGTGAGCACCCTGTGGTGGGAGTGAAAAAGATGGTGGTGGGCTGTAGGATCTCGAGATGCGGGAACCATGTAGCACTTAGTATCTTTCTTGAGGAGCAGTGAAATCTGATGTTTTCTTGTCCTCTCAGCATTCATGAGGCGTTGGTAACAAGTTTTATTTTTCCATTTTAAAGATGAGAAAGATGAAGCTCGGGCTGGTTAAATGACTTGCTCAGCGTCCATGGTGAGTCCGAGCGGGCAGGGACAAAGCCCCTGACTGTGCTCCTGCCGAGACGTCAGCTGCCACTCGTGCAGGACCCAGGAGGCATTGTTGCCTGTGGAAATTAATTTTATTTGGATTGTCAACTGCATGTTTAAAAATGTGCTGTCACCCTTTAAAGTCAGTGGGTCTTAAAGTTTCTGAAATGTCCTAGATGTTAGTATTTTAAGAAAATGAAAGTCATGTGATTTTTGGGAGAATTTTTCAGTTGAGGGATACACCAGGACAGGAGAAGCTTAAATGAACATGTCTTATGCGTGTAGCCTTTATTTTGGTCCCAGTGTTTTTCATTGCTGAATCTCCTTTATGTAGAGTTACTAGTGTAATCTTTTACATTTAAGAATTAAGGAGATTTCTAGAAGGATGCTAGCATGTATAAAAATGTTGCCTTTCACTCTGATGACTATTGGGAGTGAACCAGCCTAGATTCTCTAAGACACACCGTGTCTAGCTTCCCTGAGCCGGCCTGGTGAAGCACGATGGTAGGAAGGGGAGGCCCAGGACCGAAGCTGTGCATCGCGTCGCTGAGATCTGTGACCTAGAAATACTGTAGACCAGGCTGTGTGGAGCGGGGCCTGCCACTCTGTCCTCACCATGGGCTCACATGGTTCTCTCTCCTTTCTGTCTGACAGGCCTAGCCGCCCGGGTGCCTCCCGCACTGCTCCTGCATGACGGGCAGCGCCTCCTCCGACTCCCCCTCTTCAGTGCTGCCCGCTGTGTCTAGCAGCCCCCTAGGAGCTTGTCAGAGCTGCACCTCTGGGACTGGTTATTCCTTTCGGTGCTGCTGACCTGTTGGGGGTTCCTGATTTCTGTATACATGTAGCTTTGCCAGATATGTACTTAGTAATATCAACTGTATTAATAAATCCATTTACTATGTAACACACAAGTTTAACAGTTAAGAGCGATTAGCTGTTTATTCTGGTAGCAGGTAGTTAGAAGTGTCACACAGGTTTGTTATATTGGCATGACGGTGACCTGTGGACAGTTGCTGAGCTGTAGGAGTAAGGCATGTGCTGCACGTTCCCAGTGTACTTAGAGACCTGGCCAGCGCCCTGCACCGAGGCCTTCCCAGGACACGCTGAAGTAGATCTGCTGTGTAGTCTTTGTGTGAAATTTTGGCAATTCTGCTTTTCTCTACTAATCTTCAAGTGCTCAGTGATGTGTGTATTTGTGTCTTTCTAACTTCTAATAAACTCACTTCAACTGACCTGCGTCTGTGTCTGTCTGCTCTGTGCACTGCTCCCTCTTCCTTGGAATACAGCGCTGGGTAGCCTCTAGGAGGACCAGTTCCTGCAGCCTTCCTGAGGGATCGCTTCTGAGAATGAACATTGCTGCTGCACACATTTTTCACTCTGTTTTTGATTTTCTTGCCTGGATTCTCCCAGGTGCTTCATTTCTAATGTTCAAATTCGTTATGAAAGCTGCTGCTCTTTACTTGCTTCCTATAAGGTGCCTGAGGATTTCTAGTTATTTGTATAAAGTGAACATTTTATTTAATTTTTCCAGCCACATTTATAATCAACAGTAATAAAAGCACTCTGTAAAATTGAGGAAGCAATTCATCTAAGTATTGCCTTAGATGAAATGGTCAAGAGGAAGTTGTCTTTGTTAGGTCTGAGCATTGTGGGCCCTGGGCTGGTGCATGCTCACAGGTTTATTGATTTTGGCGATAGTCCTATAAACTGTCTCAGTTTTCTCAGTTTTGTCCTTTGTCTCAAAGCAGCAATCTAATTAATTCTTCTTTGGGGATATGATGACTTGTTTGAATGAGCTTCCTCCTGTTCAAGGGCTTCCATGATCATTGGGTTTCTTTGACAAAATTAAAGATGGGTATATTCCTATGTGACAGTATTTATGTGCATGGCAAACTGGTGGTTCCAGCAGGACTCGAATCACCAGTGAGTCCCTGGCAGCAAGTTGGGTTGTAGGGCTGGGAGTTTTTGCTTGTATCCAGCTGTGCCTCGGGGGTGGGAGGGAGACACGTTGCAGCTTCACACTTGTTCACATTTTTTTCAGGATGGCACTGGATCTTTAAAACGCAGTGGTTCCTTTAGCAAACTCCGGGCTTCCATTAGACGCAGCAGTGAGAAGCTGGTTAGGAAGCTGAAGGGAGGAAGTTCACGGGACAGTGAGCCAAGGAACCCTGGGTAACTATCTCCCCAGCCCGCCCTCCCTGCCAGCACACCCTGCGCGACCTCAGAGAAGACCTTCCTGGTGGGCCCAGATTCAGCAGTGGGGTGGTGGAATAGGTTCTGTCTGATGATTTTCAGTGGGTTGAGAAATAACTGGTAAACTGCTGTTTAGTGGCTAACAGAGCGATGCCTTCAAAAGTTTATGGAATTCTGTGGTTTTGTTACATGTTCATAGAGAGCTTTCACTGTGAATGGTGGGAATTTACTAATCCCCACTGAGCATTTGAGACTTGTTTACACTAGACAGGCATTCTTTCTTAAAGTAGCATTAATTTAAATGCTTTAAATTTTTTTTTTAAGTCAGGTGTCAGCTACAATTATATCAAATCTCATTCAGGTATTGTGGGGAGAAAAAGGGTTTTCAAGAAGAAGGGCATGATTTTACAACTTTGTTATAAGGAGTTACTTTAGATTTTCAAAACCTTAGATTTCCATGTGTTTAAAGAAAGGTGTAAGTCATGGGTCTTGGAGTTTCCTCAGCAATGACATCCACGTTGTCAAAGGGATTTCCACAAGGTGGGTCACAGTAGGGCCCTTTGTCCTTCACTGCTGTGCTATGAGCCAGCCACCTGTTTCTTTTGGATCCTGACTGCCTTGGAGACATTCTGTATGGCCATCTTGTCAGCCATTCTGTGTGCCTTACTTCCTGCATAGTTCCTACTCATTAGAGATTGGGTCTTAGTAAATCCTGTTTTAAAAGTGATCCCACTTCAAATGTTCTGCTAGTTACAATTCTAATTGGCTCAGAGCTGTGAATTCACCAAGAGCCTTTGAAGCATATGTTGGACTTAGTAAAGTTGTGTGTCTTTCAGTTGTTTTGTTTGTGACTCTGCCTTTTAAAAGTATGTTTACTCTCACTCCCCTCAGTGCCACTTCGGGGAGGACCCTGCTATCGCTCACCGCCTGGCTCCTCATCTGGGTGGAGAGCCGTGATGGGTCCAGGCTGTCTTGTGATGTGTGTGCCTCTTCTTGTAGATGAAAAATTGTTTCAGTGGATTTTGGGAGGTGGAAAGAGAAATGATTTTTTTTTTTTTAAAGTACTGTTGTCTCCTCACAACTGCTTGCCAGCCTGCTGCTGTAGAGACAGGTTGGGAAGGCTTGTGATTTTGTAAAAACCTTCTGGAAGGTCCAGTGTTTGAAGATTGCCTGGGCTTCTGGAAATGTGGGGAGCTAGCAGCAAACTGCTTCCTACTGGTCAGATGCAGTGTTAACTGCCTGTGATGGGAGATAAGTGCTAGTCTGCCTTAGAGATTTCCAGAACTACAATGTGAGGTCACTGTCTGCTCTTTGTGCATTTTGAAGGATTGATGGCTTGCATTTCTCACATCATTGAGAAAGCCTGAACAGAGCTCCATGGCTGCTGGGCTTCCCTCTCTCTGGCTGATCTTTTGAGTGGAAAGCTCTGTGTGTCAGAACACCCTGACCAGAGGAAGGCACACTGATCATTTGAGGCCTTGAATGTTTTGAAGTTTTTATGTGCAAAGTCCAGTTCTGGTTCTGAGCCGTGCAACATAAACTGTGCCTCCCATGTGAGAGCGCTTGGGATTTTCCTATGGCTTCCTTATTTTCCTTCGGACTTACCAGGATAAAACATCAGGTGGCTGCGTATAGCCATCCCTGGTGTTGGAGTTGTGGTGAGTCCAGTGCTATGGCCCCTTGTCCAGTCTAATCTGACATGAGCCACACATCTGCATTCACACATGAAAGCTGTTTTCTCAGTGACTCTGGATCTCTTCCCATAGGACACATAAAACCATGTAGTCTTTCCCCTTTTGTGTCTGCTGGACCAATGGTTCTGGACCAATGGTTCTTGGGCCTCCCACAGACTTCCTGGCCCTCCTAAATGTCTGATTCATCAGCTCCTAGGGGAACCCTAGGTTCTTGGGTAGAGCTGGGCCTGCCGGACTGGGTTGGACTGGGGATCCTATGAGAATAGCTGACCTGGATGCACCAGGAGCAAGACACTTGCAGCTTGCTGCAAGCTGGTCCCAGAACTGTCATTGTCCTATTGGTTTTGATGCCTTAAGAGTTCAAGACAAACTCCTTGTGAGAGGTCACATTGTTGCTTTTGCCTTGTGAGGTAAAGGGAGCTTGAGAGAGAAGGTTGTGTAGCCTTCTTAACTGGCCAATTAGGTAAGACTGAGAATAATTGAATACATCAGGATATAATTGTGATTTGGTTTGATTTTACACTTTGCACCTGAGTAGTTCTAGGTAGAGAAAAATTTGTTTATTCTAAACAACATAACTGGCTGGGCTTCATTGAGATGTTTTTGTTTTGTCTTGGTTTGGACAGTTTGGGGTGAGTTTTGCTTGGGGAAAGGTAAAGGAAGGCCTTTGCTTTTGGTGTAGTTGATTCCATGAGAACTGGCTGAGTCAGCCATTGGTTGGATGCTGTGATGTGGGCCAGGCCCTGTGCCTGCTGTGCCAGTCCTTCAGCCACTGCCCATGGTCCCTGTATGTGCCAGTGCCCATTGGGTGTGGCATACAGCACACATTCAGAATCTCGCATCCTGTGGGGACCTTCAGTAGCCCAGGCCTGGGTGGTTTTGGCTGTAACAGCTGTGGGGATCTTACATTTGGAAGCACTGTGGTCACAGTAAACAATTAAATTCATAATTTAAATTTAGGCGACAGGTAATTTGTAAGCAGGCCATTCCATCAAGTATTTTAAAGATATCAAAGGGGAGAAAAAGTAAATATATTTATAAATCCGTTATTTCTTTGTATGTAAAACCATGAGATCTGTTTTAAATTTTAGTTTTCTAAGGAGAGAAATACTGGCTTCAAAGTTTATCTTACAAATGATAAAATTGTTTTTCTTTACTATAAATTTACAAAACCATGAAATACAGAATATAGTTATGAACTGGTCTTCACAATGAGCTTTGTCTCCTGTGTGTGCTGAGCCCTGCATGAACCCTGCCCCAGATACCTGGCAGAGCAGGGGTGGCTCTTTGGAGGCTGAGCAGGTTCATATGTGGAGGGGGAGCCACACTTAGCATTTCCCCACATTATGCTAACACAGGCATTTCCCTGTGAGACGGGGATTTTTCTCCTGGGCACTAAACATAGAGAGCACAGACATGAATATTGAGGCCAAGTGAGAGAAAGACCTCCTGGTACCTCAGGTCCCCGGCCTCCAGGACCTGCTGGTTGCATCAGAGCCTTTGAGGGGATGGAGGGCTTAGCATGTTTTTTATTGCTGTTGACCGATGTGCTCATCCGTTTGTCCTTGCATGTCTGTGTCCGGGTTGCAGCATGAAGCGTGCCAGTTCTCTGAATGTTCTTAACGCGGGTGGCAAGGCTACAGAAGATCATTTCCAAGTAAGGAGCCTACCCCGTTGGTGCTCTGGCCGTCAGGTGCTGAGCAGTCCTGCCACAGGCCCACACTGGTCCTCAGCAGAGGCAGAAACTTAGAGATGTGTGCTGGCAGTGACTTACTGTCTTGGGTCATTGTGGACTGTGGGAGTTATAGAGTGAGGTTTTTTTTTCCAGTGCTGGGGTTTGAACTTAGGACCTCATGCTTGCTAGGCAGGTGCTCTACCACTTGAGCCACTCTGCCAGTACTAACCATGGGAATTATGAGGTGCCAGTTATTGATCAGTTACGAGCTTGTGTTTTTTTTTTTTTTGGCAGCACTGGGGTTTGAACCCCAGGGCCTCATGCTTCCTAGGTAGATGCTCTATTACTTGAGCCACTCCCCCAGCCCCTTTTTGCTTTATTTATTTATTTATTTATTTATTTTGGTGGTGCTGGGGCTTGAACTTGGGGTGTTGTGCTTACTTTAGTCACTCTGCCAACCCAATTTTTTGGATAGGGTTTTGAGTTTTTTGCTCAGGAATGGCCCCAGACCAGATCCTCCTACCTATCCTCAACATAGCTGGGATTTACAAGTGTGAACCACCATGCCAGGCTCTGATATACTAATCTTTCTTTTTTTTTTTTTGGCAGTACTGGGGTTTGAACTCAGGGCCTACACCTTAAGCCACTTCACCAGCCCTTTTTCATGAAGTTTTTTCTTTTTTTTTCTTTTGCGGTACTGGGGCTTGAACTCGGGGCCTTCATCTTGAGCCACTCCACCAGCCCTATTTTTGTGAAGGGTTTTCAAGATAGGGTCTCGTGAACTATTTACTCAGGCTGGCTTTGAACCACGATCCTCCTGATCTCTGCCTCCTGAGTAGCTAGGACTATAGGTATGAGCTACGGCACCTGGCTTGATATCTTTAAGAATAGTTTGACTTAAGGCAGATGACTAAGCTTATGGTAGAACGTTTGCCTAGAATGTGCAAGGTTCTGGGTTCCACCCTCAGGATTGCAAAAAAAAAAATAAAAAAGAAAGAATTTGATTTAATTAATTTCTTCTGATAAATATGAAAGCCTGTATGATCAGTTTGTGTATTAGTCTCTAATAAGTTTATAACAAAGCTGTTGTCCAGTTAAGCTGCTGTCCAGTGTTTTAAGTGTTAAAACTGACTAACATGGTAACTACTATTGTCACTCTGACACCGATGTCTTCAGCACTTGCCCCACTGGCCGTCTCACACAGATGAGCCATGCTTATCTTTACATATGTGTAAAGCATGGCCTTTCCAGTTTTCCTCTCTCTGAAACATCTATTGTGGCTGTCGGGTGTGGCTGTTCCCTTGGTGACCTTAGAACCTGGCCCTGTTGCTCAGGTGCCCCAAGCAGACTCAACATCTGGAGCAGCTGAGACTTGCTGTGCTGGCTGCTCTCTGTGCTGGCACTTACAGCTCATCTGGTGGTAGTGGACTTCCTGGTCACCACACCTGGTGAAGCCTAAATCCAACTAACAGAATGTCAGCTATGTGACAGGACAGGCCTGGCAGCACCCAGGGACATTGCCCAAGAGCTCATCTCTAGGAAGGGAGCTGAGGACACTGGTAGGACACTGGGTGGTGTGTTTTCAGCACACCTGGCACCAGGAGTCAAAGATGGTGGGGTTTCTGTGGTTTTTGGTGCTGGGGATCAAACTGAGGGTTTTGCACCTGCCAAGCATATTCATTACCATAGAGCTATACTCTAGCCAAAGGCAGCGTTTTTTACAGACATGGGGTTTTTCATGTGCATACTTGAGCACTGGGGCATAGCGGGTGCAGCTAGTGTCAAGAGGCTAAGAGCACTCGAAGCTGGCATCCTTGGAGGTACTGGTTAAGTATAATTTTCCCATTTGTTTTTTCACACAGGAACGAAATAATTGTCTAGCAGACTCGAGAACTCTGAGTGCCAGCCACACTGACCTGGCCCACTGAGGGTTGGGAAGAGCTAGATAGAATCCCTGAGACTAATGGAGCACTGAGACCCTCGCAGCCCCGCCAGCCCCTCCAGCCTCCTGGAAGGGTAGCTCGCCCTCCTTGGCAGTTGAGCTTCCTTTCTAGATGGTGACGTCCACCAACATCTGGAGGCTGCTGTTTAAAAAGTGCTGGGCAGCTGTGCTCCAGAATTCTGTTAATCGGTCTGTATCTAGTACCTGCTGATGCTTGAAGGCTGGCAGGTGCTATGGCCCAGGAAGGCAGATGTGGTACCAGCAGGTGGCCGAGGCTCATTTGGAATGAACACTGTGCACATGGATACTCGCGTACTTCTGGCTGCCACCCTTCTCCATGACACCAAAATCTATTTAAAATCTTAATACTGTAATAAGGCTGTAAATTAAAGAGTCAGAAACTTAAACGCCATCCTTTCAGAATGACAAGCGGGCAGTAGTCTGTCAGTACAGTCTGAGCCAGAGAAGAAGAGGTTGAGAGAAAACGGGCAGATCTCCAGCTGTTTGCTCTCAGGCTGCTGTGGTGTTGGGCTCTGTGCCTGATGTTCCAGCCCATGTCCTTGCAGTGTGTTTTCTCTCCTGGTGGCCCCTGTACGCTAAGCATGTAGGTAGGTGTCTTAAAAAAAGCTTTCTCATAGGGTGGATTTTGACAAGAATTTTTTAGACCAACCCCAAGGCAATGTATAAGACTAACTTGTAGGCTAAGAAAATACAAATGGCAAGGTGTGTAATCCATACCAATAAGCTAGAATGCCGAGATGCATCCTTTCCTATTTCTTGTAACTTAGTGTCATTTTCTATCACAAATGCAGTGCTGGGGAAGGGCTTCCAGCCATCACCGTCTTCACTGCTTTCCTGAAGCTCCTGGTTGTTTGAATTCTGCAGCTGCTGGTGGGCCAGGAGTGAGAAGCCACTATTCCCCCACCCCTGCATAGGTACCATGTAAATTAAGAATCAGAAATTTAAACTCCATCCTTTCAGAAGGTGCCTCGGCTCTGCATATTCATGCAGTCCTCTGGGCAGAGTGGGTTTCAGGTGCTGCTATGTCCACAACCCAGCAAGAACACAGTGCCTACCACTCTAGTCCTGGCCTGCTTCTCCACAGGGAAGCTACTACTACATCAAAACGTGCACTTGGTTCTCTGGAAAGACAGATGCCATGGGGAGGAATGAATCTAGGGCTAACTATAGGACTGAATTTTAGGCCCCCCAGGTTGCATGGAACAGCCCATTTTGTGTGGTGGACCTGTGGACACTGGCTTCAGCCGCTAGCCCAGTGCTGTGTGGGTCAGTTACCTTTGGTGGGGAAGTGTTGGGGGTGGAAGAAGCTAGGGCACATAGATGGATACTTCAGTACTGAGTGCAGCTAGATGGAACCATTGGTAATCTCACCAGGTGGTTGTAACCTGTTTCTCTTTGCACTTTTCGTGTTTGTGTGGTGCTGGGGATTGAACCCAGGGCCTTGAGTGTTCTATCATGTGAGCCATGCCACAGCCCCCGTGGGCTGTACCTAAGTATTCCCAGAAGAGAAATGGTGGCCAGTGTTCCTTCTCAGTGTCTCCCTTATGGTGAGGGGACCTAAGTCAAAGCTATACCTGTTTCTTCATAGTTTGTCAAATGTGAGTCCCCTACCAGTGGCACACAGAGCAGAGGTCACTCCACAGTGGCTTCATATGCAGTAACCATCCCTAGAGACTTTCTGTGGGAGGTGTAAGTGGCAGGAAAGCATGTAAGTGGTTGGGGGCGCTAGGCAGCACCTGGTTCCAGGATTTTACAGTGTGTGTATATGTGTGTGTGGTGGGTGGGGGTGTCAGGTAATTTTCTGGAATAAAAAAAAAAATCCATTTGGTCAGAAAGCTCTGGGAATGTCATGTAATTAGAAATCTATATAGTAATTTATATTAAACAATTGCTAGAGATAAATGTTTATAAGCTGTAGAATACTTTCTGTGGTCATAACTTCCTGGAACCTCCTTGGGAAGCAGACTGTGCACTAGTGCCTGCTATGTTCCATGTGTGCATTTACTTTTAAGCAGTGTGAGCCCGTGATTGGTTCTAAAACTGTAAGACGTACTTGACGCATGGAGTGAAGGCGAGTGGTCAACTCATACAGTATAGCACACAGCACAGCCACCCCAGTCTGATCCATCGGAGACTGTAAGTGGCTTCCCAACCCTGGGGAAGAACTCAAGTGTCTCTAGTGTTTTATAAGGTGATGAAGAAATGGCCCTGAGGGGCTCGGCTGTCTGGTCCCTGATTAATCACCTTACCTAGGGGACAGGAGGGAGGGTCTCTAGCCAAAGACCCCAGTAGGATCAGGGGCTCCCAGGGGACAGCCTGGTGGGGTAGCCCCTCAGCTCAGCAGGTGGATGTGGTCACTTCTGCACCTCCAGGAGTGAGGCCACTATTAAATGTTTCTCCACCTTTGATCTATAATTTGTTCTCTAATTGTCAGTACAGTTTACCTAGAAAAGTCATTTGGAATTGTTTATATGTAATTATAAAAATAAAGTTTTATTTTCTGGTGTGAATTCCCTGCATGTTTGCAGAAAAGCTGTTTTGTAACCAACCAACCAACCAACCCCAAACAGCTTTGTCTCATCTTTATGCCAGGTTCTTTTTTTTTGTTGGTACAGGGTTTGAACTCAGCACTCTACCAGTTGAGCCACTGCGCCAGCCTCTGCTAGGTTCTTAACCTTTCAGAGCCATAGGTGGCTCTGAAAAACCTGATGTACTCCACATGGAGTGGTCCCGCCCTGGCAACCAGTCTGCATGGCTGCAGGGCCTGTGCTGCCCTAGGGTGACCCTTCCTCCCCTACAGGGGGGTCATGGTATCTGCCACTTGGCTGGTCTGTGTCTGTTTCCCTACCTAGGGGGGAGGGGACAAGTGACAGTGTCTGACCCAGAGTCATGAAGAGGGCACACATCACGAGCTGTAGGGCATCTGCAGACAGGTCTCCTTACTGAAGGCTCTGGAAGTGGAAGCATGAGGGGGGAGGTGGGAATCAAGACAGCCACAGCACTGGGCCTCACATCCACAATGATGTGGTCAGATTCTGGAGTCCACAGCCAGATGTTTCCAGGCAGCTCTGCTTCTAGCTGGGTCTGTGCAGGTGGCCACACCAGGCATCCTGCATGTTTTCCTTCAGTGTGCTGGACCAGAGTTGCTGGATCTCCTCACCACAGGCCTAGGCTTGGGGGATAGGGAAGGGGGCACATGAGCTAGATACTGCTTCCCATTTCCTTATGTCCTTTTTTATAAGCTGCACAAAATTGCTTGTGTTCTAGGGGTGCCTGAGGTGAGCAAAGGTCAGGTCAGTCCTATTCCTACCTTGATTCTTCTGAGCCCACAGCCTGAGGTCTGCTTGACGTGTTTCTTCTGCTCTGCACCATCTTTGGGGATAAAGTGTATGCTGAGGGGCCTCACTGTAGCCCACTATGGCCTGAACAATGGGGAGGGTGTCTTTGGAAGGGATACCCCATTGGGCAAGCTGCTGAGCCCAGTCTTTGCCCAGGAGGTTTGTGGGGAAAGCTGAGGATAGAGCAAGAGACCTTGTGGGAGCCACTGTGGAGACATCTCCAGGAGCTGTCAGTGCCTGGCAAGTCATCTGTCTTCTGAGTGACAGACTATGGAGATAAGTGTCAAGGCCTGGCAAGCTGGTTGGACAAAACCCAGGGAGGGGACAGAAAGCCCGAGCAGAGCACCCCAGGTCGCCAGGTACCACCAGAGTTCCTGGAAGCATATTGCTGAGTGCCCACAAGGATGGTTTTAAGGGCTTGGCCAGATCACAGCTCCACAGGGTCTGGTTAAGTTGCTCCACAGGTGTTGCTGTGTTAGCTGGATGTGGTCCCTGGCATCCCTCGCACCCCTTCTGAGTTAACTGTGTAGGAGCAGGAAGAGGGGGGCAGGTGAGGGGCAAAGAGCACCCGCAGGGTCCGGGCTGGGCTGCTGGGCCAGCCCAGGGTGGCCCCCTCCTCATGGGACCTGTCGACCATCAGTCTCATCAGGAGCTGGTTGGCCCAGGTGATGCCGAGGGCTGGAGAGAGATGCTGGTCCAGGGGTCTAAGACATGAGAAATGCTGCTGTTGCTCACAAACACATTGCGTATCCTCCCCCACCTCCTGGTGCCTGCACTCACCCTGGTGGCCCAAGCTCTGAGCCTCGTTCCTCCACAGCCTCTGTCACCTGGAAATGCCAAGTGGTGGTCAGCTGCAGTGAACCTCACAGCTGCTACCCATCTGCCTGTTTTCCCTGGGTTTCTGGGCCTGAGCTCTTGACCACTGCTGGCTTCTCCCACCTGGTTGATGCACAGCACAGGGCTCCGGAAGGTGCTGCTCAGCTGGCGTAGTGCAGCCCCCAGAGACTGCAGATGCCTGGCCCGGAGGACTGAGGTCTGGCTATCAAATTCACAGCGGAACGGGGCTGCCACTGAGTCAATGATCACCAGGCGGGCCATGCCCCTTGACAGCAGGACAGGGACCTTCTTACTCACACACTCCAACAAGGTGTCCTGCAAGAGAGGGGATGGCATCATGGTTTTTACTGGCCAGTGGCTCCTTAGGTGACCCTCTAACTTGCGGTTTTAATGGCACTGTCCTATTGGCTGCCTCCTGCTTAGCTGAGGGATGGGACATTGGGCCTGCACCTTAAGCCTGATCTCACACTTTTCTCACAGGGCTCCAATGAACTTAAGGCCTTTCAGCACTAACCCCTTCTGGCACCTTTCTTTGTGAGCCCAAGCCACTCTCTGCTCTATGGCTGTCATTTCCAGTCTTTGGAGGTGTCACTTTTCAGGCAGCCCTAGATGGGTGGAGACACCTCCCCTCCCCCAAAGCAGGTATCCTGGGCTGCCTTCCTGCCAGTGTGCCTGTTGACACCAAGGCTCAGTGGGCTATGAGGTGGAAGTAGTCTCTGACTGTAGAGCTTTGCTTGGCTAAGGTGATGGGTAGGAGTGTATGGGGAAGGTGAGGTGGCTGCTGTGCACAGAGTGGAGACTTGCTGTGTCGCCTGAGAGAGGCAGGCAGGCCTGAGGATGCAGCTGAGAGGCCTCTCTGCTGCCTCGATGTTCAGTGTCTACTGAAGTGGCCTGGGCCAGCCAGCAGGCTGCTGAACACTGGCTGAGGTGTTTATAGCTCTGGCTGCTGAGGGCCTGGTGTGCAGCCTGGAGTGACAGTCTGTGCTTCTCTCCAGGGCATCCCCAGCAGAGCTTGTGTGTGTGGAAAACGACAGCAGCAGCCTAGAAGACGCTAGCACTAACGTGAGTGTCTGTACCATCCCCTCAGCCAGGGCCTGGGTGGCTGGGGGAAGGCAAGTGGCCATTGCACCTGCTCACTTCAGGTTGGGGCCTTAGGGCCACAGAAGAGGTGCATGTGGGACAGGTGTGACTCCAAGGCTCTGCTTATGCAGAAGGAAGGTTCTACGTTCACTCTACTCCCTTGCCTCTCTATTTTCCAATATTGAACGCGTAGGTCCCCTGTGGCCTGGGGCCCCAGGGAGGCTGTCAGTGAGCCACCCCCTTATCTAGACAGACCCTGTGCGGGAGGCAGAGGCCTTCCCAGAGCTGCTTCTAGAGTGCAGGTCTGGCCTGACCTACAATCTTCTTTTGCAGTGACCCAGGCCTGGCTTGCTTTAGGACGCCAGGACACTGCTGCTGTGTGTGACCCCGGAGCTGGCCCTGTGACGGTCAGGGCGAGGCTGGGAGGGCCCTTGGCCGGGAGCCTGCAGCGCTAATTTAATTTCTCCTGACCATGTGCTGTGGAGCACAATACTGATAACCGTACCACTAGCAAGGCCTAGGAGAGCACTGCTCAGCCAGTTATGCTGGGGGCCTAGGGTGCCCCAGCATCCCTGAAGGGACAGCAGATGAGCGTGACCCTGCCCTCTTCCTGGGAGCCCCATGTGGATGGGACACATGTGTCCTATATCTACTTGGGCCTCCCTGTGCCATTTGTTTTAGTTCCCCACGTTGTGTGTGATATTGTATTTTATTGTAAATTTTTTAAAATTAAAAGTTTATATGCTTTATCCTTGACTTGAATGAATGAAAATCTTTATAGAACAACTCTTAAAAGTGGGCTCTGGGTCTGGGGGGATGGCTCAAGTGGTAGAGCTCCTGCCTAGCAAGTGTGAGGCCCTGAGTTCAAACCCCAGTATGCCCACTTCCCCTCTGCCTGCCAAAAAAGAAGTTGGACTCTGCCACAGCAATGCCCTGAGTAGGTTGTGTATGGAGGGCACTCCCTGCACCTGAGTTGTTATTTGTGTATTTATATTTGGCAGTCAGGTTTATTCCCACCTGGATTTCCCTTCTCTTTCTGAATCATTCCCACTCATCACTCATCCCTGCATAGGTTAAAGACTTCTCTAAGCTGCCCAGGGCCCTGCCCTGCCTTCTGCTTCTGGGACCCGTCTGGCCTAGCCAGCCTCTCCAGTCTTCTTCCTGGCAGCAGGATGGACCAGGCCCCAGCCAGCCAGGAGAGGCTGAGGTAGCTCATCCAGGCTGGGTTTCCCTGATGTGTGTGAGTCCCGGGTCTACCATTAGAGTAGACTTCCACCAGAGGCTCCCATAGGCTTCTCACACTGGGGAATAGCCTTTTTCTTGGCCCTGGTGACCTGGAGATATCAGCCAGGTAATGGGGCAGAAGGAGCTGGCCCAGGAAGGCTCTTCACGGGATAGAAGCTACAGGTTAGGGGCCCTCAGCCCAGAAGACACCCTCCCTACCATTTTTTTTTGGATGAGCTGACTGTTTACAGGCCCAGTTAAATCTAAATTTCAGGTAACAAATAGTGTTGTTGATCTGAACATGGGGCACATGTATACCTGAACTAGACTCATACCTGAATGAGACTTGATGCTAAGGGAAATTCACATTGTGTCAGGTGACTGGGATATGCTTGCCCAGCAGCCCTGCCTATTTGGCCCATAGGCAGCTTCTGATCAAGACCTTTAGCCAAAATGTAGTCAGGTTCCTAGGCCTGCTCCCCGCCCTACCTGGGTTCATCCTTATAAAACCTAGGTGTAGCAAGCTCTCCCTAAGTTTAGCCAGGGATCCCCCCTCCCCATCCTCCCACCCTGGACATGTGATTGGTTCATTGTCCACCATCCCAGGTGGAATGTGCTCACTCTGGCTGGCCTTCTCCATGGATCCCTCACCCTCTGGCCCTGCCTGCGCCTTTCCCATGAGTCCCTACTTCCTGTGTGTCCCCTGTGCCTGTTACTGCTGTGGTCAAGTCAGCTGGCTGTGCCTTGCCTTAGCGGGCAGAGCAGACATGCTCACCACATCAGCTGCATGCTCGATAAAGATCTGATTACTGAACTTGATCTTCTCAACCACCTCTCCTGGAACGTCTGTGCGCAGTTGCTGCTGCTGTGAGATGAGCTGCTGCAGTCGCTTGCTGGGGAAGATGTCCTCGGTGCAGATGTAGACAGCCCCTGGAGAGCCAGAGCACCAGGGACCCAAATGTCTGAGGACCCAAAATGCCTCCATGGCTACCACACACACCAAATACAGACACGGCTGCATGTTTCCCACTCTGACCCTCATGGTTTTTCATCTCTGACTTGAGGAAGGTAGCCGGCTAGAGCTGGCTCTCATTCTACCTGTGGCCAGATGGCCCCACTGGAACACTGGCTGGGTCTTCAGTTCTGACACTAGGCCTGTCCTGGGCTAGAATGGCCACAAATGAACTGCCTCACTTGCCCTGCTTTTCCTCCCTGGCTGGGCAGGGGAGTGAGTTGATCACCAGGGCTAAGGAGCTTTTGGAAACATCCCTCTCTTGTCCAGGGACACTCTCAAAGGTTTCACTGAGCCAAAGTTTCCTCTGTTCTACTTGCAAGGCTCCTCCTGCAGCTCCTGCTATGTAGTGATGCCTTTGTCTTTACAATGATCTGAAGAGCCAGTAAACCAAGTGAGGATCTAGTGAATGGGTCACTGGAGCCTGAACAGCCCCTAGGCAACATGCACTGCCAAGCCCAGAACCCGCACCAGAGCAGGAAGAGAGCTCTGCAACTAAGAGCCGGGCTTCCCTGTGTATGTGTGTGATGGGTTTTCAGTAAAGATGCCAGGATGATTCAATGGGGGAGGGGAACAGTTTTCCATAGATGGTGCTCAGACAACCAGATAGCAAAAGACTGAGACTGGATCCTTATACCACATGCAAAAATTAACTCAAAATGGATCAGACATGAGTGCTAAAGCCCTTGACGTCTTAGAAGAAAACACAGGTAGATCTTCCTAACCTTAGAGTGGGCAATGGTTCTTAAATGACACCAAAGCCACAAGTGACCAAAGAAAAATAGATAAATTGGACTTCATAAAATAAACGAATGTTTGTGCACTGAGAAAATAAAGACAATTTCCCAAAGAAAGAAAGCATGCCTGATGAGGGATTTGTATCCAGAATACAAAACGGATTCTTAAAACTCAGTAATAAAAAGGCAATTTTAAAATGGCATGGAATCAAGTAGACACATCTTCAAAGTACAGCCAGTAAACACGTGAAAGACATTCACATCACTAAGGATCAGGGAAAATGTAGTCAAAACCATGAGATTCCACCTCGCACCCATCAGGAGCAGCTGTCTAGAGAGGACAGTACTGACAAGGGGGAATGGGAGGAGCCTCCATATGTGGCTGCTGGAGTGTAAGGTGGTGCTAGGGTGGGGGCCAGGCTGGCATGGGTCGGTCCAGCTCAGTCCTGCTTGCCATCGTCAGCACAGGGCAGAAGGCACAGGTACAGAGATCTTGGCCCATTGTATAGGCAGTTCTGAGAACTTAACTGAGCTGTTCTACATGCTGCTCACTTCACACGCATGGGTGGTGTGGCTGCCTTTGTCATCCTCAGACCACTGGCCCTCACTTGAGGAAAATGTCACATGCTATGTTTCAGTATTATGGGCCAAGTTATTGGCAGGCCCTATCAGCCTGTAGCATAGGTGTAGGGCTCAGCTCACATTATGGGGTAACCCTGAGGGTCAGCACCTTTGTGCTAGCAGTGACCTGAGCCAGCTTTGCCTACAGTGTTACCCCCTCCTTCCTACAGCAAGCACAACCTTACTTCCTTTTCATTCTTTTGGAAGGAGGAAGGTAGGTATCAAAGAAAATAGCCTGAGAGGTGACTGCTAGCCCACCTCAGCAGAAAGCCACCCAACAACAGGGTAGGGAATCCTGAGAGCTACCTCGAACCCCCCACCCCCTGCCGCCATAGAAGGGCAGCCACTCACCGGCCTCCAGGCCTCCATGCCATCGTGGGAACTGAACAGCCAGGCAGAGCTGTAGTGCCAGTTGGGTCTTCCCTGCTGAGCTGCGGCCAGCCAGCTCTGTAATGCCCTCCAGGGGCAGGCCACCTCCCAGCAGGCCGTCCAGAACAGGGCAACCTAGGCTCAGGCGCTGGTGTTGTGCAGGGAAGTGATCCCTCTGCTGGAGCAGGTGCAGCGCTGCAGGGTGGGCCAGGGTCAGGAGGTATATCAAGCACTGTAGCACCTCAATGCCACTATCTAGTCTGCTCCTAATCCTATGGTCTCATCCCTTCTCGGGCCCAAGAAAGTGACCCAATGAGCAAGGGTCCCTGAGGCCCTTTAGTCTTTTCCATTGCCCACCCAATATATCTGGTCAGACACTATGATCATGATCCCACTAGTACAGGACTAGTGAGGCAAGAACACCTGGGCTTGGGCAGCTGCTGCAAGGTTATTCCTTAAGTGGAGCCTGGAGTGTGATGTCCACCAGGCCTGATGTCAGGTCCACCCCATCTGCCCCCAGCAGGAACCCCAGGTAGCAGTCGCTCTCTGCTCACCTGTAAGTATGTGTCTGCCCCGAAGATGTGAGGAGGCTGCTTTTAGCAAGTGGTGGACATCAGAGCTAGACAGGTTGGTCAGTCTTTGCAAGTCTGGTACAGAAAAGTGCAGAATGTCCTTTACTGATTTCAGTTTGGCTGAAATGACACAGATCAACCACAGGAAAAGTCAGACCATGTTAACTTGAGGGGAGACAGCAATGACGGTGTTAGTGAGAGTTGTACCCCAGGCCTGGGGAACTAGAGGCAGGGTCTGGAGCCACTTGCCTCTTAAAGCCCCCAGGACATCTTAGATAGTGTGACAAAGGAAGGGCCTGATGGAGGTACTAGCTGCAATTGCTCTGCATCTTTGTCACCTGAGCCTTGGGATCTTGTGTCAGCAGCAGCAGGAGCCAGAGATGGAGGACAAGACCCAGACACTGAGAGGAGGTGACTGTTATTATGTTCCATCTTCCAAAAGTCTCTCAAGAAACGCAATGCTGCAGGCATGGTGGTACACACCTGTAATCCCAGCTACTTGGGAGGCAGAGACAGGAGGATAACTTGAACCCAGAAATTCCAAGCCAACCTGGGGCAAGATAGCAGGACTCATCTCAAAAAAAAAAGCATGTATCTGGGTCTATGGGTGCAGCTTAGCAAGAGAACACTGTCTAGCATGTGCAAAGCCCCAGGGTTAATCCTGGCATCACAAAAGAATATTTAAGAAAGAAGAGAGGGAGGGAGAGAGGCAGGAAGGAACAACATAAAAGGCAACACAGCATCACCAAGCCACACTCAGGTCTGTGTGCTAGGCTAAGCTTAAGGTACAGCCTCAGACCCACCCAGGGAAGTGCTGGAGGGAGAGCAGAGCTTGGATCCAAGTCAGGTGGCGAGAACTGGCACTGAGAATCAGGATGGAGTGCTGGTGGGTCCACAGAGTAAAGCACGCCAGGGCCTGCTATTTTAGGAGGAGGTAATTACGTCTGGACTTGGATTTACTCTCTACTTTCAAACTAGTAGAAAGAAAAAAAATGTTGCAAATATATCCAAACCAATTCAGAAAGCAGCAAAAAAAAGAAAACAACATCATGAAGAAGGACAAGTGTCTCAGCATGAGAAGGGAAATTGAAACCTGTAGTACTGTGTGGCTACCTTACATGTATTGAAGTCTCCAGTTACAAAATGGACATTGTTAGAATGCATGACTGGAAAAACAGAACTCTGAAGTGCTCTTTGAAAAAGATACAGAAGACAGAAAGGCTAGAAGTAAAGAAAGTCTGTGTAGCACTTTTAAAATCTTTTTGGTTGGACTGAGGTTTGAACTCAGGGCTTTGCATTTGCAAAGCAGGTGCTCTACCACTTGAGCCACACCTTCAGTACATTTTGCCCTGGTTATTTTGGAGATGGGGGTCTCACAAACTATGTGCCTGGGCTGGCCTCAAACCATGATCCTCCTGATCTTATCCTCCCAAGTGGCTAGGATTACATGTGTGAGCCCAGCTTTTTGTTTTTTTGTGGGACTGGTGTTTGAACTGAGGGCTTTGAACTTGCAAAGCAAGTGCTCTACTGCTTGAGCCACATATTCAGTCCATTTTGCTCTAGTTATTTTGGAGACAGGGCCTCGCAAACTATTTACCTGGGCTGGCCTCCTGATCTCAGCCTCCCAAGTGGTAGGATTACAGGTATAAGCCACCAGCACCTGGCCTGTATAGTGCTTTAAAATAAAACAAAATAGGCTTTCAGGCAAAAAGCAGTGCTTGAGAGGAACATTCTGGGCAACCAAGGCTCCTGCAGGCACAGTGGGCCCTTGGCTGGTGCCTCAAAGAAAATTCATTTTCTCATAAGATGCAGATGAGCAAGAACAACTCCCTGGCATAGTGGCTTCCCCATTTTGTCTCTAGGATGATGTTTGATCATGAGGCCATATATAAGAAGACAGGAAACCAACAGATGAGAATGGGGGTGTGGGAGACCAGGCAGGACAGCAAAACCCTGCCCCAGTCACCTGGGTATATCTGGAGTTCCTCACGGTGTAATCCACAAGCATCCTGATGTGCAAGCATCCATAACAGACATCCCAGGAGACAAGGAGGACATCCTGCTATGTGGCAGGATTGGGAGGCAGCTAGCACAGACTGGAGCAGGGGTGGGGTATGCCTGGGATGGAGGTGCCCAGGACATAAACACAATGGGTGAGCTGTCCAGCCCCTTGAGCACTCATGTGGGGAAGTCAGTGAGAAGTACATAGAAAACTCAGCATATAAAAAAGAGGAGAAACTACTAACTTACAGGAAAAAAACAAAACAAAGATGTTCCAAGACAGCAAACAGTCAGAAATGCCTCCCACCCCCAGTTTCACAATTTCCAAGAGGTGTGCAGAGGAAGAGGGGCAGGTGGAGTGTAAGCAAGCTCACCTTCAGCCCAGCAGAAAGCCTGATAGCTCACACATGACAAATCAGACCCATCAACCTACACTTATTCTCGTTTGTACATGAGGCACATGTATTACTTTGACAGAAATAAAATTAACTGTAAAATTCCTTTCAGTTAACATACACGCAACTGAAAAGCCCACAGCATATTCCAACACTGCACAATTAGGAAGGGGCTCTCTATGGAACAGGCTTGGACAACCAGCATTCTGTAACTTGTTTTTCCTTAAATTGTCTATATACACCCACTCATTTTACACAGCACACCTGTCTTATATAAGTGAAAATAAATATACCTTTCTTGACCACAGCAATAATTCTGGGATTAAGGTCCAGCTGATCCAAATCCATTTCCTCAATGGGTTGACCACCAGGATGTTCATAATTTCCCAGGGACAGACGAGACAATGGTCACAAATTCCAAGGTGCTTGCTGTCAACTCAGACCACCTGTGGGGAAGCGAGTGCTCACCCTCAGTGTGGCTGTCTCTCACTGAGGGCAGGAAGGACCATCTCATAAGCCCAAGGGCATCTTTGTCCATGCCACTGAGTTCTAAGCGTGACCTGGCAGCTCAGAAGTCTAGGGATCATGGCAGCGCAGGTGCCTGAAAAATTCCAGCACCCCCACACCTTAAAAGTGCCAGCCATCCCCGCTCATCCCGAAGAGTGAGAAGAAAACTAGTGCTTTGTGTGCAAGTCCTCAGGGTGCCCACTCACCTATCTTAGGATGTGGACGGTGCCAGATCCACTTGTGTGGGGCTCACTCAACCAAGGTGTGTTTGGCATTCTCTAGTTCAATGTCCTTCAAGTGTGCCTCTACAGGAACTCTGGAAAGAGGGGAAAAGTGAGAGTGGGATTTTGCAGGGTGCTGGGGAAATCCAAACCTCAGCAGAGGACAATGGAAGACCAGGGCCAGCGGAGGCACAGGGCTGCTCCTCACCCTGGCAACCTGGGCTAGCTGCACAGGGACTTGACTGAGGGTCACAAGAGCCCTGTCCTGCAAACCACTTCACTCCCTTGTAGCCTTCCAATCAGCATGGCTGAGACTGTGCAAGGCATGTTGGAAACTGCATTCTGGGCTGGTGTCCTGTCTGAGGCTCACACTCTGGGGTAACTGGTGCTGTGGCTGAGGCATCCCTGGCACTGGTTAGAGTATGATGCTGCCTGGACAGTACTGCATTCAGGTGCAGGCACCCTCCCAGGCTGGACAGGGAGACAGAGGCCAGCACTAGCACGATGGCCATGGCCAAGAATGGCCTTAGGCTGAGAGTAGAACCCAGGGTGTGTTGGCCACAGTCCTGTCAGGCAGCTGCCAGGCAGGAGGGCAGGTTTCAGGGTGGGGTCACAGGACTCCTAGCAGCTGGCCCTGCCCTCTAGCACCCTGGAGCAGCACACAAGGAGGTCCCCATGGTCTGGCTATTGAGGGCTGTGCTGATGGCAAGCACGACTAAGGTTGCCCAGGAGACATGCAGAGGTTTGGGTCCCCCTGAAGGTGGCCCAGGGAACTGGACAGCAGATCTGAGAAGGTGGTCCAGCAGCTGCAGAAGAGCACATCATTAGGGCCAGGTGTCTCTTCAACTGGGGAGCAAGCTGTGCACAGGGATTGAGCAAAGTGCAGGTGCATCGTGGCTCACTGAAGCTAAGCCTCAAGTAGGAGTGAGCTACCGTACCGTGAGGTGCCAGTTCCCCAAAGAAACCAGATTGTGGGGGACAGAGGGGTGCCACTCCCGCTCTGCCTGCTCACTCAGGGCCGCCTCACCCACAAGACCAGAACTGATACTTTTCTTTCTGTCGCCAAGTTCAGAGCTAAGCTCAGGTACGGCGAGTCCACGGCCATCTCTGAGAAGTTGTGGGAGGTGGCGAAGTGTGAGCGCTGAGAAGTTCCACGGGCCGTTTTAAGCCCTCGGCCTGCATCAACTCAGCAAGCCTGACGACGAAGAGGAAAAATGAAGGCACAGAGCGGTCAGGTCACAAGGCCAGCTCCCACAACGACTGGTCTTGGCCTCGGGCGCAGGCAGCACGTTCCCGGCCTGCTCCAAGCGCTCGACCTGCAGGAACCCAGCCTGGCCTCCGATTCCCTGCGGCCTCGGCAAAGCTGGCGCTGGAGGCGTGGCGTCCCAGACCCCTGGTCTCGGTCGGCTCCCTCCTTCTCACCCGGGCGCTCTTCGCCTCGTCCGCCACTGCCGCTGCTGTGGCTTCTCCGGAACCGCGCGGCCCCTGGCCACGAGGTCCACCTCGGTCTCGCAGGGCGCCCTGCGGACCCGCCTCGGCCGCCGGGAACCGACACGTGCACACACTGTCCCCGCGGCGGCCCACTTTCCCCGGCGGACGTCAGGACCCGCGCCGCCTGGGAGGCCCTCTCCCGCGGCTGCGCGCGCGTCCTTTTTGCCGCTCTCGCAGGGCCGGAGTCTCGGTTCTGGGGTAGCGGCTGCGCAGTAAAGACGCACGTTCCTTCCGTTTCACCCGGTGCCGCGGGCCGCGGGGAGCGACCGCAGGCCCGCTGCTCCAGCGGCTCTCAGGTCCCGCGCGCTCCTCTCGCCTCTTCGCGCCGTCCCACCTCGCTGGTCCTTCTCTTCCAATGAGCGCCTGGAGCCCTGGGGTGGTTCACACCAATCAGAAACGAAGCGGCTGACTAACTGACCAATCCAAAGTCTCAGTCGCCCCAAGCGGGGCGGAGCGTATCTCCAGACCGGCCCTCACCTCCAATTGGTGGCCGACCGCACGGTGGCAGGGGTGGGGCCCTTGTGCGGATTGGAGAGTGCTGCCCTGGGGCGGATCCAGAGATTTGATTGGGCTCCGCGCCGAATCGTGGTTGGCGATTGGGCCCTGGCGCTGTCAGTTGCCACGGGTGGGGTGGGACGGTGTCTCTCGGCTGGGTGCGGGGCAGAGTGCGAGTGGTGGCGCGAGGGTCGAGGAGGCGGAATGTCGTCGGGAGTGGCAGCCCGCCGCGACGCCAAGAAGCTGGTGCGCTCCCCCAGCGGCCTGCGCATGGTGCCGGAGCACCGCGCCTTCGGAAGCCCGTTCGGCCTGGAGGAGCCGCAGTGGGTCCCGGACAAGGAGGTGCGTCCTGGCCGCCCGCGCCCGTCCCCTCGGACCCGTCAGTACCGGGATCCAGTCCCACTTCCAGTGTCCTGATCCCTCGGCCCTCCCCTCGCCCTGGCCCCTCGCCCCCCGAACTCTCGTGGGCCTCCTACCGCCCACACCCTCCAGGTGCTCGGCCTCGCGACCCCGGCTCCCTTCCCGGGACCCCTTATCCTTCTTCCGCTCTCGAACTCGCCTCCTCTTGGACCTGCGGCGCGTCTGCGACTCCGCCGCGGTCATTGGCTGCGCGGGTGTCCCCAGCGCGGGGGGGAGGGAAGAAGTTACCCGTAGTGTGTACCTGAGCGAGCGGGCTCCAGGGGGACTACCCAGGTAAGGGAGGCCCGACTTCACCTGCCCAGGTGGGAGGAGGGACGGGCCGCCCAGAGCGGTGCTGCCCGCGCGGGGTGCGGCGCTCTGTAGGCCCTTCGCGCTGTGCTAGCGAGTCGTACTCAGGAGTTCAGGACTCCGCAAAGCCAGGCCACTACTAAGAAAATAGAAGCACCACACGCATTCCTTGCAGTCTTAAGAGTAAATCCCATGCCAGGAAAAGTACTGGTGACTTTTGTTGATTTTTTTTTTTTAAAGGTGCAGACCCTGCCCTGAGTTCTGATCACCTACATTTCCTCCCTTTTCTTGGGGATGTCTGCCGCGGGCAGATGGGATCAGTGATTTCTCAGCACAAGAGTGGTATCAGGTGTTCTTAATGCAGCCAGTCGGTGGCCCCTTGAGAAGCCACCCAAGCCTCCAGAAGCTGCCAGTCTGGCTGCCCTTGCCCTGCACCTACACCACCCTCCAGCGCTGAAGTTAGATCAGAGATCCTAAGGAGATGATGTTCTCAGTTGGGGAGGTCAAGAAAGGGAGCTGGGGCCACTCCTGGACATGTTGGGCCAAGAGGTCACTGAGCTTTGCCCCTTACCCTCCTTCCGGTCCTTGTCTGGGGTTTGTTCTCTTTTCTTTCTGCACTTTTTACCCTTGGTACTTGCTTGCTGTGAGTTCACAGTACATTCCTTTCCTTCACTGCCTGGCTGGTACTGTAAAGGTAATTGAGCATAACACTGAGCAGTTCATACCACTGAACTGTGCGCTGAGAAATGGGTAAGGTGGAGGCTGGAGATGGTGGGAGGCTGAGGCAGGAGGAACTCAAATCAAGGCCAGCCTGGGCTACATTGTAAGACCCTGAATTGGCAAGGGGTAAATTTGTGTTATGTGTATTTTACTACAATAAAAAATTAGGGGGAAAAGATTTTTCTAAAAAAGGTAGCATGACTCTCATATAGATAGAAGTGAACACGTGTTTCAGAGTCATTACTACATTCAGGGAACTCTGCAGACAATAACTGGCTCAAGGAGAGGTCAAGAGAGCAGATTGACATGGGTTGAGCGCTGGGCAGGTGGAGGAGCCCATTTGGTGAGGGAAGCCACACCTCTTGGGGACAGGACAGTTTGGGGGCTGGTGGGAAAGTGTTCCTCTCAGCATGTCTAGACCAGGGGATTCAGACCAGTGGATCTAGACTAGAGCTTCTCACCATTTTCCCCTATTGCCCTAGCAGGAGCCTTTTAAGACATTTTTTCCTAATTGTCCCCTGCTGAAATCTTTAAACATTTTAAATTGACAAGTGAAACTGCACATATTTACTTATGTGCCCCTGTAAATCTCAATAGCAGCTGACTTGTGCAGATGGTGTGAGGGTGTGCGGTCTGGATAAGGTTAGTTTTTCAGGGAAGCATGTTTTTTTTCCTGACTTAACACAATTTTCAGTTGTGACAGAGCCCTTTCAATATTATCTGAAATAATTGTTTTTTTTCCCTCTAAGTCATTTTTCTTTGCTGCTGGCTGGGCTTGTGTAGGATGCTGCACTGTGAGGCAGGCCTAGGGGTCTACCCAGGCTGTCTCAGGAACCCTGAGAATCCGTGGAGTGGCCAGAAAAGTTGGATGGGATGAAATGGTGTCATAGTGTGGTGACTGTCCCATAACAAAAGCTTTGTTCCTGCTTTGGAAAGACAGCAGGGGGTCTCCAGGAATCCCCTTCCCCATTGCATCTGAATTATGAGTAACTTATCTGAGCAGTTGAGGAAGACCCTAGAATCTGGGTGAACTAAAACTTGGTTTTAGAAATAGTGCCCTGGCACCTGGCTGAACAGGATGCACTCAGCTGTGCTCTGCTGGCAGCATGCTTATGGACGAAGGGTAATTATGCTCTAGGAGGTTGTCCAAACATGGAAATGACCATTTGTGGAGAGTCAGTGTATTTGTATTTGTTTGGAATTGGAGAATAGGTGGGGCATGGCAGCAGGGTCACATACCTTCCTCAGCCTACTGTCGCTTCCCGCCTGGAGGCTGTGTGCCCATTAGTACCATCAGCACATCTTGCGAACCGATGCTTGTTTCATTCTGGTCCTGTCTTCAGCTGGCTCAGTCTGGGTCCAGGTTATCAGGTGGCCTATGCAGGGTGTCCCTTTAAAGATGCTACAAGAAATTGGTGGGTGCACGTGCTCCCCAAAGAGGTGCCATGACACAGACCTGAGCTGTTTCTTTGGGTAAAGAAGGCTATGCCTTCCAGAGCTTGTGGGGCAGGGGAGGCAGAGGTCATGCCACACCTTCAGCCACACAATTTACAGGAGAAAGCCATGCATGATTGCAAGGGGCTGGTGATGGAAGAGGGCTTGGGCTGGGCTGTTGGGCATGCTGCCATATGGCTTTTCACAAGCAGCCCCAAATCTTGTGTTTTATCCTTAAAACTCACTCTCCTCTTCCTTCTCATCCGTGGCAGTGGCTAGAACATGACAGGCCACCTGTGCTGTCATTTTGATGTGCCATACTATAGAGGCAGACCAGAGGAGATTGTGTGTCAAACAGCAAGCTACCCTGCTCAGGGGAGGAGAGGGTTTGAGTTGATGGAGGGCTGCGGTAGGGGAAGGGCCCATACAGAAGGGAAACAGTTGGACTGGGAGTTCTGCAGCTGTCTCATGGGTCAGGTAGGACAAGGCTTATCTCTTGTAGGAGGACTAGGATAGAAGAGACTTGCATGGGCCAGTGGAGGTGGCAGGCTCTGACATTAAACAGGAGGGGTCTGCCAGGATGCCTGCCCCAGGGCCTGCTGGAAGGACAGAAGCTGCTTTGCAGTCTAGTCAGGCCTTTACTCTAGTTGGTCACTGAGGACCCAAGTTCAGCCAGTGCTTTCTGGAACAAAGAATGGGGATTTGAAGCTTGTGCCAAAACTGGCCTGCTGCTAAAGCCAGGGGCGCCTGTAGTCTTAGCTGGGTCACGGGGGGATGGGCCCAGAACTTGCAATTGTTTTTCAAGATCACAGGGTAAAGTTAACCTTGTGAGGGGCCAAAGGCTGCTGGAGCCTCCCCAGGTGTTGTAGAACCAGCAGCCCCGGAGGACTCCCCTCCCTCTGCTATGAATTCTGTTATTTCTGTTGATTGAAACAGTCCTTTTGAAACTCCACTGTGAACCACCAGGGCTCATAGAGCTTCCCAATCCTGGAGCTGGCTGAGAGCTGGTCATGTTGTTAGAAGCTATGACTTTGACATGGCAGGAAGGATGCCTGGGGGTGTCTGTTCCTTTCAGGCAGTGATTACAGTTTCCTACCTTTCATCATTTGACAACTTGGTAAACTGCTCAAAACCTGTAACAGTGCAAATGGTTCTAGTCCATGAGATGCAAATGAAGTTTGGTCCTTCTCCCTCCTGCCCCTCTTCTCTCAATACCACTTAGGTGAAGGAAGCCAGCTTCACATCTACTGCCAAATCCATTTCTTCATCCACAAGGCCTATGGATTTGTCTGTTCACTGGATCCGCCTTTGAACTGGGCTTTTAACATCCTGTTGGTTCCCTTATTAATTAATGAGTCATGTCTTTGACATGAGTTCATTTTATGTTTGTAAGAGTTATGTTTTGTCTTTGAAAAATGATTTTCTTTCAACAAAGGTACATTGAAACATATAAAATTATTTTAATCAATTGATTGACTTTTAAGAACTTAAGACATAGTTGACTGAGACCCTACTGTGCCAGTTAGCAGTTAGGCAATGTTTTCACAGTGACTGACAGAGAAAGGACAGTGGAGGGCAGGGTTGTCCTGTGTGTCTCTTCAGCCTCAGAGGGAGGTAGGGAGATGGCCTAAACCCTCCTTCTTTTTATAGTAACTTTCTTTAAACATCCAAACTATATTTTCAGATTGGGTTCACTTTCTGTTTTCCTCCTTGCTATCAGATGTCCTTTGGGGTTGGGTGGGCTAGTTGTGTGAACTTTGGGGCTGCCCCTCACTGCATGACAGTGGGGCAGTGGGTGTCTAAAGGTCTGTGTGCTATGGAAGGAAGGTGGAATTCAGACCTTCTGAACACTTGGTCCAGGCCTAGCTTTGCTCATGGCCCTTCCAGATTCTTTGCTGCTTGCAGCTGTCTCACTTAACCTGGCAGGAAGCTTAGTTGACAGCTCCCATACCCAGGGTGGGCCCCAGTGACTGGACCAGCAGGGAGTTGGCCTGGGGGCTTGGTGCCAGGGAAGGTGGGTCTGCGTGGAGATTTTACTAAAGCATCTATGTACCTGCCTACTTCCTCCTCCCTCTGCCGTCCTGTAACTGACTGTCCAGCTTGTCCTCAAGGCAGCTCCTTATAGCTGAGCCTCATCCCAGTCTCTGCTAGCTCTAGAAAGCAGCAGTGAGAGTTCTGGAGATGTCCCTGCTGTCCATCCTGTGGGAGTGTCTGTCCTTGGCTAGTTTGTCCAGCCCTGGAAACAGGATCATGCAGATGTGTCCCATTAGGACCACTGCCTAGGTTAACTCTCTGCTTCTCTTTTCCTCAGGTCTCCCACTATCCCTGTGTTTGTCGTGCCCAGTGGCTCTCACTAGGCTGCTGGCTGTGTCTTGCTGGGTCTACTCTTGAAGGCCTCCATTTTGCTGGGAGTGAGTGTCTGCTGGTGTGACAGTCTGCCCAGCAGTGACATGTGACATGTGGAAGTCAGACACATAATGCAGTGTAAGGCCACCTTGCAGATACCCTTTGCTGCACTCGGTGAGACCAATGAGTCAGGTCAATATTCTGGGCCTTGGAGGGTCCTCTTGGCCTGTCACCCACAGCAAAGCATTCAAGGGCCAGCCCAGCTGGCAAGTTCATCTGGTGCTCTTGCTTTCCCCTGGCAAGGCTTGTCACACTTAACAGGGCTTGTCACTGACTCTGGACTGCAGGACTTTCACTGTCATAGCTTCAACCACTGCTTTACTTCCTTACTCTCTTTTCATGTTAAATTGCTATGTTGATAATTTGAATTTTGGCTTTTCACTAATAAAATCGATAGGAAATTACCTTGTTTAAAAATCTTTCTATTTTCTGAATAAGCTTACCAGTTCTTTAGAATAATAAACCACTTCCATTTTTAAGAGAGCAGGTTTACATTCTAGCCTGGTTTTGTGTTAGAGGTTGTCTTCCCGCTGGCCTGAATGTGAATCCTACGTATGTACACAGGGGCTGTCTGCTGGCCAGGCCTGTGGTGCTCCTAGGCAGAGCCCTCCCATTCCAGTTGAGCTGCACTGGGGCATGGGAGGCCAGATGGCCGTGGAAGTACTGTAAAACAGCTGTTCTCACAGTACTGGTGCTGCTGTGGCTTTCTTGTTTTTGTTTAACCTCTCTAGTTCATAGCCACTGAATCTTCCTCTATCAGATCCTTGTGGACTCTGGCTGGTGGGTGTCTGGAGTCAAGGAATAAGGCACCCCACAGTGCATGTGAGGCCAAGGCTCAGGATGGGCCAGAGGAGGGGTGTGGAGCAGGGGTTTGTTTATAGGCTTGCTAGCTGGTATAGTGGAGAGGATAGTGAAGAGTCTCTAGGACGTGTAGGGCAGCATGAGTGTTCTGGCTGACCAGAGTGAAGATGGCTGGTGACAACGGAGGCAGATAACTTGGGACGAGACATAGTCTGTGCAGCCCCTTTTCCCTCCCAGACCTGATGGTCTGCGCTGCAGAAGGTGCCCAGTGGCCAGGATCCTGTGTTCCTCGCCTGACTGTTGCTGGGGCAGAAAGCCAAGCCTGTGCTGGGAAGGCTGGGGCTGCACTTTTCTGTCAGTCCTGTGATTCAGCCCCGTTGTGCTGAGGAGCAGCTGAACCATCTCACCCTGGGCGTGCCCTGTCTGGCTGCATGGCAAAGAGACCTGGAACTACTGTGAGATAAGAGTCTGGGCTCTTTTGTTTGGCTTGGTCACCATGTGGCCAATTCCAGTCCTGTCTTTTTGAGTTTTTTTGTTTGTTTGGTTTTTTCAGTATTGGAGACTGAACCCAGGGCCTCAACACTTGAGCTATATACCTCGAGCCTTTTTTGAATTTTATTTTTATGGTACTGGGGTTTGAATTCAGGACCCTGAGCTTACTAGGTAGGTGCTCTACCACTCGAGTCATGCCCCTAGCCCTTGTTTTTATTTTCTTTTGAGATGGGGTCTAACTTTGCCTGGGCTGGCTTCAAACTCGGGAGGCTTCAGCCTCCCCAGTAGCTGGGATTATAGGAGCACACTACCACATCCAGCTTCCTTTTTGATCTCTCAAAGCCTTTCTGTTCTTGTCTGACCTCCTTTCTTCCCACTAGAAGTGAAAGGAAGCTCACCCGTGAGGGCAGTCTTCTCTTACATTTCAAATGTGGATTACTTGATAAATAATTTAGTTGAATCCTTGGTCACCAAAAGGAAAACACACACCCTCCTCCCCCAGCTCCCTGCCCATCTCCCAGGAGCCCTTTTTGGGTCACACTGTTTGGTCACTTACTGGTTTTTAACTCTGCAGTTGTTTACCAGTCACCACCTGCTATCTGTTTACCTGTCACCTGTCACACTGAGGGGCTGTCCTGTGAGGACTCCCAGCCTCTCTGGTGCCTTCTTGTTTGATCCTGACACAGAAGCCAGAGGAGTTCTTTTCTGAGGCTGCATGCATACTCTAGAGAACTCCAGTGCATAGGATTTAGGGAAGGCCTGCCACAGCTTGTCACACTAAGGGATCTTTTATGGTGAAAGGCTATTTCATGGATTCAAAGAACAACAGTGGCTGGAATTCTTCTGCAGCCAGGGTATCACTATGTTTCTCTTGGTGTGAAGGGAGGCACTGCCTGCTGCTACATAGGGGATGTGTGGACTCCCATCAGTGTTATCATTCACCCTTGCCCTCAGGCACATCCCAAGGGACCCTCCCTTCTTTGGAGCCAGCAGGAGGCCAGCTCAGGGTAGAACCTTCCCTCAGGATCTGGGAGCTCTGTGAGCCTGTTCACAGAGACCACCCTGTGGGCACCAGGGGTTTTGTGCCAGGAAACCCACTTCCAGTGTCCAGTGTGTTACTTTAAGTGGGGACTGTGAGGAAAGCTGGAGTTGGTAAAACTGAGTGCTCAAGCAGGAAGTTCATTTGGCAGCACTTTCACCTAGAAATGAGTTGAGAAGCTGGGCTGTGACCAAGTCTCCAAGGGGATCTTCAGCTGCCCTTCACAGGGTGGTGTCTTGAGCAGCCAAGGCTGCTGCAGTGCGGTGGCCTCCGCTTTTGGTCTCCCAGCCCAGAGCTGCCCGGGACTCCAGCAGTGAGGATTAGACAGGCCTCAGTTCCATGAGACGTAGGCAGATGGCCACATGTCACCACATGTGTGTGATTGTGAAGTGTTTGGTAAATGTGTCCCACACTTTAGTGAGCATTTTATCATTTATTTATTTGTATTTGGCAGTAGTGGGGTTTGAATTCAGAGCTTCGCCCTTGCTAGGCAAGTGATCTGTCATTTGAGCTACACCTCCAGCAGTTTAGTGAGCATTTTAAATTCACCTTCTTTGTTGACTGGCTTCAGTTTCATTTGCACAGCAGACTGGACAGTCTGAGCACAGGCAGTCTTTCTACCATGTTTCCTTTCAGCCATCCTCTCCCCCACTGCTTGTCTGTTGTCATAGGTATAGGCATAGTATCATCTGTCGTCTTCGTGTGGCAGGCTCAGGCCTCCCCTAAGCACCATAAGCCTTCCTGAGTGGGGCACCCCAGGTCCTGAGCTTGTGTGCTCTGTATGTGTAGGTTGTGTGATTTATTTTAGACAACTCAGAAAAAAGGTGATGTCCTTTAATGCTCTGGTCAATTTGGAATATGCAGAATGTCCCAGCTGGCTGAGTCACTGAGCCTCACTCTGCTCTCCCTTGCCCTAGGCAGTAGCTGCTTTGTAGTTTACTCATAGGCTTATGAGGAGAATGTACTTGTCATGGCCACCCTAAGGAATTGGGGTCCTAAGGTATTTGGAGAAATACTTGTCCCTGGATTTTGGAGGCACTGGGCCATCTAGAGAGGACTTTAAAAAAATTGTTATTATTGTTGTTCTAGGGGTACATTGTGACATTTACAAAAGATGATGTTTGCTTTCTGCTATGGGTGTTGTTAGAAAATGGTCCTTCTGAGTAGGACTTGGACAATTAAATGTTTTTTTTTTTTTTTTTGATGGAACTAGAGTTTTGAACTCAGGGCTTCATTCTTGCAAAGCAGGTGCTCTACCACTTGAGCCATATGTCCAGTCCTGAATAACTGAATTTGATTCTGAGGTTTTGCCCTGAAGAAACTTCTAGTGTGATTCAGACTCAGCAGAGTTGGCACCCTGTCCTGTTGCTGTTGGGAAGGAGCATAGCAGAGGCAGGAAAGCAAGTGCTGGACCACAGATTCGGCCCATCTTCACTGCTTGGCCTTGGCCCTGTTTGCTCACTACTAAACTTGGAATAGAAACGCAATCCCTGGGTTTCTGGTAACTCTGAGGTCCTGGTCTGCCTGAGCCAGCTGTTCCCTTGCCTCTCTGCATATGCAAGTTCCACATGTCATTCTGTGAGCCAGCCAGTTCCAACCTGTGAGTCCTGGTCTGTGAACTTCCCCCTTCTCGCTCCTGTTTGAGGCCATATGTTCAGGGCACCTCCAGGCCTGGCATCTGCTCTAGCTTCTTCCAAATACTCCCTCACAGGCCCTGTTTAGGACCTGTACTCAAAGACTCCAACACCCAGAACTTTATGTCTCAGCTGTCTGGACTCTTATCATTCAGAGTTCCTGTGTTAGTGGACTTCCTGTTCTTCATTGTCCTGCTGTGGAATGTTACCATCATTTCAGTGAACTTTGGCTCCTATAAAAGGAATGGGGCCAGACAGAAGGTGCTAGAATGAGCTGCCATTGGATCCAGAGTCAGAATGACCCAAAGCACTGTGATGCAAAGGCAGCTGCAGGAAAGTCAAACTGTACCCTCAGGACCCTGCAGGACCTGGGCAGCCAGGCACTCAGGCCAGGCCCCAGCTGGGGCTCCTGCAGGCCTAGGAGCCACCTGACCTCACCCGGGGTGTTGGGCTGCAGCCCTGCACAGCCTGCGTGGCTTCTGAACTGGGCACTGAGTTGTGGCATGCTATCCTACCTTGATGCATCAGAAACTGCCCTTCTGGAGGCCACCTTTGCATGCAGATGAAAGGTTGGTTTTCTCAGCTAGCCTTTCTCAGTGCCTCTTGGCCCTGCCTCAGCAATTAGCCCAGTGAGAGAGCTGGATTTTAATACTTTGTCATGTTCTCTCCTAGTGTCCAAGATGTATGCAATGTGATGCCAAGTTTGACTTTATCACCAGAAAGGTGAGCTGAGGCCATCAGGTGGGGCAGTAAGAAGACTGAAAGGCTGGGCCCATGGGGACAGGATGAGCCCATTTCTGGGAAGAGCACGGTTCATCTGGGAGGGGATGGGTATCATTTTGAACTCAAGTAATACCCTATTCCAGTGTGTCTGGTCTGAGTCAGCATAGCTCCTGTACTTGTGAGCCCCTGCTGTCCTGCCACCATACAGGTCTGCCTTCAAGGGCTGGTTCCCTGTTCCAAGAGACACACAGAGGCAGAGATCTGGGGCAACAGAATCTGACAGTTCAGAGTTGAAAAGCAGCCCCCTTTCCATTCATTAGTTTTAAAAAGGCCTCATTTCTCCCATGAGGCAAAGCCCTGGTATGGGAGCAGGACCCTCACTGTATTTATGAGGCATGAGGCATATTTGGAGTGTGGGCCTGGAAGTGCAGGTCCGTGGAGCATCTCTTGCTCACCGCCTACCCTCTGCCCTCTCCAGCACCACTGTCGCCGATGTGGGAAGTGCTTCTGTGATAGGTGCTGCAGCCAGAAGGTGCCACTTAGGCGCATGTGCTTCGTGGACCCTGTGCGGCAGTGTGCGGAGTGTGCCCTGGTGTCCCACCGGGAAGCTGAGTTCTATGACAAGCAACTCAAGGTGCTTCTGAGTGGTAAGCATGCGGGCATACACACTCCTTCGCTTTGTGTCCATACTGTGGTCGGGAGAAGGTATCCTGCTCCTCTCTGACATGAAAGGCCATGCCTAGCAAAGTCAGAACCGACATTTTACACATTTGCATATCAGAAAAAAGCAGCAGAAGGAAGGGAGGAGGGAGGGCCAGATGTCCCCAGCAGCTATAGCAGGTGCAGGTGCAGGTCCTATCTCTGAGCCAGGTCCTGGGAGGATGGGAGAAGGGAGTATTCCTGAGGGTTGGGTCTGCCCTGAGCTCTGAGGAATGAGCAAAGTGTTCTCTCCTAGACACAAGCCTATGTGGAAGGCCTGTGTGCACCCTGTGGGGCCACTGGCCAGCCTCTTCTTTACCACTGGTCATGTCTTGGTCAGCTCTTAGAGCACAATGGTTGTTTTTCTCTGGTCTGGGCCTTTGTGATGAATTCCCCTGCCTGCTTTCTTTGAAATTCATAGCCTTGTAAGCAAGCAAAACTAGGTACAAAGCAGTGCCTTTGCTTACTTCTCAGACTGCCTCTTTGCTCAACTGAAGGGAGAGCACAGAGCTGTAATCTGTTTCCCATTTGCTTTCATCATGTCCTTTCTAACTAGTAATGTCTAGGGAGTGAAGGGGTAAAAGTGGCAGGTCACCTGTGCATGTTTGGTTTTGTCTCCCAAGGAGCCACCTTCCTCGTAACTTTTGGCAACTCAGAGAAATCTGAAACCGTGGTTTGTCGTCTTTCCAACAACCAGAGGTAAATACCAGAATCCTAGTTGGTACTAGACAGTGCTGTTATGGGCTACAGACCTCAGTCACATGACTCACCCTTTGCTTTGGTTATAGATGTTTGATCCTAGACGGGGACAACCGCCATGAAATTGAAGTTGCACACATCTCCACTGTGCAGATTCTCACAGAAGGCTTCACTCCTGGAGGTACAGGCCCACGTCCTTCTAGAGCAGGAGGGTTCTGGTGCCACTTGTGGGGGTCAGGAGGCACATATACTTGAGCCTGAGGTGCCCTGCTGTCCCCCACTGGGAGCTTGTGTTCAGTCAGGGGTTTTAGAACACACTGGTGAATGTGGAGTTGACCTAAGATAATGAGGGGAATTTGCCCAAATATGTCATAATGGTTCCCATTGTACAGAATATTTAATGACTCTTGGATGATGCTCTCCAAATGCAATAACCAAGGTTCCTGGAAAGCTCTGGAGTGGTGGTTGATTGGGTGCTAGCACTTGGGCCTGCTTGTCACTGCCTCCTGCAGGCACCCGTACAACTGAGGTCCTTGTGTGGCTCCCTTGTGAGCTTCTGGTGTTAGTCCAGGCTGCCTTTCCAGCTGGCCTGCATGTTCCACATTGTGAACCTGCAGGCGGTACTGAAAAACCTACCTGACCTAACCCATCTTGCTTTCTGTTTTCTGACTTGCTCTTGGCTGTTCCTTCTCTCTCCTGCCTGCCTTCCTGAAGTAGAAAAAGACACTTACACTCACACCAGCCTCCTGGGGATCCAGCCCACCTTGGAAGGTCAGCCTCACCCTCTGCCATTGCATCCCCAGCATACTGCAGGCTCTGCTCCTCTTCTGGGCACGTTGCTTCTGCCCTTGAGGGTCGTCCATGTCAAGGCTCCATGTGAAATTCAGGATCACTTCTTTTGGTTAACAGAGATAATGGGTCTCATACATGGGTCTATAAAGTATAATGAAAACATCCTGGCTTAGGGCTGGTGGTGTGGCTCAAGTGGTAGAGCCCCTGCCTAGCAAGTATGAGGTCCTGAGTTCAAACACCAGTGCTGCCAAAAAGAAAAAAAAAAGAGGAAGAGAGAAGAGAGGGGGAAGGAAGGGAAGGGAAGGAGAGGAGAAAGAGAAAAGGAAAGGAAGAAAGAAAACATCCTGATAAAATGTTTGCTTAGTTCTATAGTTCTATCCCAGGTATTACCTGGTAGTTGACAGCTTTCTCTTTTTGTCTGCCAGCACCCCAACAGGCCAAGCCAGAGGCATGGGTAGCCGCAGGACCACCAGGCTTGGGTTGTATGGAAGTGGGCAGCAGCCTTCTATCACTGCCCCTTATGGCCTCTTGTCTGCCCCACTGTGGCCTGTGGAGTTCTCTAGTTCATGCAGCTCTATCCTTGCCTCCTGAAAGTGGCGGCAAGGAAAGTCAGGCTAGTGGTGTGCTCTTCTGCTTCCTAAACACAATGTGCAGGGGGCATCAAGCTGGTTGGAGATACCCTGGTGCCAAGGGTAGAGGCGAGAGAAGCTGGGGTCAACCCATGTGTCCCCATATGCCTGCCTCCTCTGGAGAACCTAAGGCTAAGGAATGTCACTCACTGCAGCCCCTCCCAAGGCCAAGGAGAGGGTAGCCAGCACAGGGATGGCCTCTGGCTGGGTCCTCTGAGCATGTAGCCTCTTCTCAGCTGCTCTGATGGACAGGCATGAGCTGCTGGCACCATGTGCTCCAGGTGGTTTTGGGAATAGTGACCCTTGCTTTTTACCCTGTGTTTTCTTAGACTCCTGAACACCTAGAACCCTGTGTGGTTCTGAGTGGGGACAGTGTGAGCAATTCCTTGAGCTGAAGCAGCCTAAAAAAACCATCCACCAGTCTGGGCCTTCTAGAGCAGGAGCCCAACACTTGTGCTTTCCAAGGCCAGAGACTAAATCTTTGCTGGCCACACAAAGCACAACAGCCATAGACAACAGGCAGCTATGGCCATGTTCCAGGAAGTCTTCATTTACAGACGCAAGAGCTCGGCAGAGCCTAGATCTGCCTGCCACAGAGCCCAGGCAGGAAGCACAGCCTGAAGTCCATGGCGGGCTTCTGAAACAGAACCTGGCCTATGAAAGAGCAGATTGGGAAGCCTTCAGGCAGGCATAGCCTGTAGTGGAGGTGGGGTTCTTACGGGTGGTCAGGCCTTTTCTTGTCTGCAGTGTGCCTGCTCACCCCACTAACCGATGGGACTCAGGCCCTCCATTTTGCTTCAAAGCCATGTCTTCTGAGGCAGATCATTGTTCCAAGTGGACTTCCCTCCCAGTCAGCAGGTAGAAGGCTGCAGTGGTTTGTCCTTAGACCAGAAGCAGAAGTCTAGTTATTGTGACTGGGGCATCTGGTCACAGTCCAGAGACAGGCTGTGTCCTGGCAGGCCAACTCTCAACATGGGGCCTACATGGGACCCTGTGGGGTCTGGGAGAATGGTACCTGACAGGGCAGGGTGGCATCTCTCTGGTATCAGAGACCTGACTGTGGTCCCTGACCTGTAGGTGTGGAACCAGCATGAACGTGGCCATCTATGTGGTTTCTCTTCTGATAGCCAGAAAGAATCTAAGGTGGCATCCACACCCCCACAAGCCCTGGCAATGTGTTACTTGGAAATTCTCTGAAGGCAGAAGTGGGGAATTCTGTAGGACTCTGGAAGCTGGGCAGTTTCTGGATTGTTTAAGAACAGGACCCCATGCAGCTCTCTGTGACATAGCTACATAGATGGTGTGCTCCCTGTGAACTCGGGGTCTCTGTAGAGGCAGGAGCTCACATCACTGCATGCTCCCAACAAGGCCACCTCCTGAGTAGCACAGGGTCAGGAGGGTGCCCTGGCCACCATTGTACTGGGGTCCTCCCTGGGCCTCCTGACCTCATTTCCCTCTCCAGCAGGTAGTGCTCGGGCCACAGGCATGTTCTTGCAGTACACAGTGCCAGGGGTGGAGGGTGTGACCCAGCTGAGGCTGATGGCTGGAGAGGATGCAAATGCCAGCAGGAGGCAGGCGGCAGCATGGCTGGCAGCCATGCACAAGGTACCTTGGGTGAGTGGGGGAGGCTGGACCTGTGAGCTGAGAAAAACTTGCCTTTCCCAGAAGATGTGTCACCTAGCTGGGGTGCCATAAAAGGCATGCAGGCTCAACTATAATCAGGCATAGGACCAACTGTGCTTCGCAGTATTTATTTTTGGTCATCCTTCAGGCTGCCAAGCTCCTCTACGAATCTCGGGACCAGTAACTCCACATGTGCGCTGAGCTCACAGTGCATCTGGTTACCAAGACTGAGCTGCTTGCCCCTGCCTGAACACCCCAGGGCCTCATCCTACTTGTGCTGGAAAATGTATCTGGACGAGCGAAGTGTTCACTTACATAGTGCAATATGTACACAGATTAACGCTTTCAACAGCTTCACATTTTAAAAGTTTGTATATTATTTTACTTTTAAAAAAGTTTGTCTATTAACTTACTGGCAATGGAAGAAGCTGAAATCCACTACTGCTAAGCCATTTTTAGTATAATCTGTATACCATGTTTTTATGAGTTCCCAAGTTTATCAGAAGGCTTTGGCCCATAAGTGTTCATTTCATTAATTATTCCACAGAAGCAAATTGGGTGGTGGTAATTCAGGCCTCTGATTTGCATTGCAGCTTGCCTGTCTTCAATAGTCAGTTTACAGCATTTGCCTTAGCCTGTTTACACTGTTTATTAACTTTGTCGCTAACTTGGGGCAATGAACAATTCTTTGATACTTCACTAAGTGGAAGGCACCAGTTTTGTGTGTTCTACTTTTCACTAACTTTCACTTTATTAAAATGACTGTACAGCAATTTGTATATAAAGCATATGATTAAAACCTATTTTGAAAGTACACACCAGGCTCTGACCTCATTGTGTCCAGATATCCTAAGTGGCTGCCCCAGCTCATTCCTCCAGAATACGAGACTCAGGCCAGATGTGAGACAGCGGTTTATTGTGCACGTTACACGGCATGGTGGTGGTGGGGGTGGAAGAGGCTGCTTCATAGGGCATCACTTCTCAGCACCATCCTGGACAACTGATGCTCAAAGGTGATGACCACAGCACTGCACCCATGAGTCTACACATGGATTTATATTATATACAGGTTATGCACAAGACTGACATGAAAAATAAAGCCTTAGAGCCTGTGTTTTCATGAGGAAAAAAAACAAACCAAAACATCACCAACACAATTCTGGTAGTTTTAAATGGTCTAGCTGAAAAATAATCTTGGTGTATAAAATGTCTGCACAGTTCTAGCTCCGGGTCAGAGCCTGTCTTGCTTGGAGTCTGGAACTGGGGCCAAAGTGACTATATCCCAGTTGGCCTGGGAAGCTTAGTGTAAACTGGGCCCTGCCCAATCTACCCCATCCCACCCCAACCCAACATTGACCTGTGGTTGTCCAGACTCCAGTGTTTGACTACACTGAATATAAATAAATTCAAGCTGTGAGGGGGTAAGAACCACGCGGTTAGCCAGAGGCTGTAAGAATCAGAGGACTGTAGTGTGCTGAGGCACGAAGTCCAGCTGTAGCACGGAGTCAGCAGGAAGCAGAGCACCCCAAATTGCCCATGCAAGAGCCCCTGGGGGACATGCACATTGGGCAACCACACTGGACAGTTTTTACACCCCTTTGGTAGTGAAAGAAAAATCATGTGGGTTGAAAAAGGATGGTCTCTGTGACTTCAGAGGAGGGCAGGGCTGCAATGGGGACAACCTGGCAACAGCTGGCCTTTTGTAGTCAGGGAGGGGGAACATCTATCACAAGAGGTGACCTTGGGGCCAAGTCAGTCAGAACTTTGTCTTCATTAGCAACCATCAGAGATTATGATAATTAGAGGACTTCTTATTGGCAACAGGGTGGGTGTTTTGGAAGCTGGGTATTTATTTGGATTTACAGTAATTGGCAAAATTCAGTCTTCCTGGAGGCAAAAGTACTTCTCCCAGTTATGGCAGACTGGAGAAAGGGCCTCACCTGGGAAGTGCAGAATTCACATTGTGGACACTGTCTGCTAAAGTGAGCACCATGAAACCATCCTAGCTCCGACTTTTCTGGGGATTGCAGAATCATCTTCAGTGATTCCTGGGAGCCGTTGAGACTGTAATGCTCCAGGGAAATTCAGGCCAGTGTTCGCTGCCGGGGCTTGATCCGTGGATACAACTGGGAAACAACGGACATGAGTTAGGGCACAGAGATGCCTCTGAGTAGAAAATGGCTGCTAGGTGCCAGGCACACCTGCCCCAGTGCTCTACCTCAGCACACTGCCTAGGAGGCATGAGGCTTGACTTCCCTTAGGCCTAAACTCAGTTGTCCCCTCTATGGAGCCCCTCCTTAATCCCCATCTTAAAAGGTGTCCCATCCCAAATTATCCCATTGCCCTCACAGCTCTTCATACCACCTAAACACCTATCACTGTCTGCTAGGCCCATGGGAATATAAGCATCCCAACTGCAGGAATTTCTGCTTGGCTCATGTCTCAGTGTCTGGCAGGTGCACAGTGTCCAGGAAGGACTGCCAAATGAACTAGGAGCACCTTCCAGCCCCACCATGCCACTGAGAAAAGAGAGGAGGCAGCTCTTCTGCCAAAGGATAGATGCCATTATGAATGCAACACAGCTGACAACTGTGAGGTCCAGACTCCCCTACCCACTAGAGACTTTTTAAGACAGGGTCTCATTATGCAGTCCACACTGGCCTGAACTATATCGATCTTCCTACCTCAGTCTTCAGAGTGCTGGGATCACAGGCATGTACTATAATGCCCAGCTGCAGACAATTCTAGACTGGGGAAAGTCTAGGTGGGGTGGCCTAGTTGCTTGTCAAAGTTCATTAGCAAAGCACACTGAGCAGCCCCTAGCCGGTTCTCTCTGCCTCCACATGTTCCAGCTGCTCCCAGGGATGGGTAGGCCAGGGGCTCTGCCTGAACCTTGTACTCCCAACTCTGCAGAGCAGGTGTTTGCTCATGTGCAGAGTGGGCTGCTGAGGCCGGGTGGTCCCCCACAGAACTGGACTCCATGCCATGAGTGGTGTTCTGTGGCTTTTGCACAAGTAAACAAGGCCAGCTGACTCCCCAACACTTAACCTCTGATGCTCCAAATGCTTACCCCCAGCAGATTTTTGGGCACATAGCCCTCTCGGTCTCCGAGGCGAGCCCACCACCATTCAGTCTCACTTTCATCCTTGCGCCTCAAGATGGTGATAGCATCCCCTTCGTGGAAGGACAGCTCATCATTGTTCTGGGCTTCATAGTCCCACAGGGCATACACTGTGCCTTTGTTCATCACTCCTAACTTCTCCTGCACCCCTGGGACCAAAGAGCAACAGTCAGGTCTCCACAGAGGCTGGTCTACAGAGAGGAGCCCCACTAAGGAACAAGATGGACATGCTGCTGCCCAAGGATGGTAGTCAAGGTCAGAGACCACGGCCACTCTATCTGATGCTTCACCAGGTCCAAGTGGCTACCCCTTGGCTTAATGTGCATAGCTCGTTCTATGTCCCTGCAAGACAGTATAGCTGTCTTCCAGTACCTGTGGTGGATGAGTTCCTGGACCCTGCTTAAGATACACAAAATCCTTAAGATACACAATTCCCTTTTACAATATGGCATTGGTATTTGTATACAACCGATGGTTGGCATACTTTAAATCATCTTTAGAAGACTTTTAAATCCAATGAAGTGTAAATGCTGTGTAAATAGTTACATTGTACACTGTATTGTTTAAGGAGTAACAAGAAAAAAGAATGTACTGTTCAGTATAGATGTATTGTTTCAAATAGTTCCATTTGCAATAGGTTTAATCCACAGAGCTGGAACCCATGGGTATGGAGAGATGACTGAACTACTGAAACCTGGGTCCAGAGATAAAGGTGTATTCTAAAACACAATTCTTTTTTTTGGGTGGTACTGAGGTTTGAACTCAAGGCTTCATGCTTGCTAGGCAGGTATTCTATTGCTTGAGCCATGCCTCTAACACTGCCATGCCTCTAACACTAAGAGGCAATTCTTAAGGTGAAACTTGAAACTTCCACCTAGCAAACTTTCAGAGGTCAGAAAGTAAGGAGCTGTGACAGCTGCTGGTTGACAGTGAACTAGCTGAACATAATGGCTTACGCCGCAGCCACAGCTACTTGAAAGGGCCTTCTGGGGACAGTTGGCTTCCAAAGGCCAGTATGATCACTGTCTGGCAGACTTCTTCCCTCAACAGGTGCCACTGTGACTACAGTTGCTTCCCCACATTGGCTGGGCTCCCTCAGGACTCTTGGGCCTGCCCTACCACATACCAAGAGCTTATTGCCTAGCTCTGCTGTGGGAGCTGGGTGCAGAGTGCTGCCTGGCTGGGTGTTTATCACTGTGCCTGGGGAGGGGGATGTCTATCATAGATCTGGGTACATAGCAGGTTCTCAAGTCATGTGTGGAATGACTGATATGTGAGAGAAGACGTCCCACAGCTCTGGGAAAATGACATAGGACAGCAGCTTCATTAGGGCATGAACTTCACTCATGGAATGGTTTGGGGCAAATGGCTAACCCTAGGCCAGCACAGGGATGGAGTAGCCCTACTTCAAGTCCTGATGCACTCTAGAAGCAAATGTACAGACCAGTGCTGCCTGGCCACCCACATTCCACTCCTCCGTCCTCAGGGGAACATCTACAGAGAGCAAGGTCATTTTTGCTCTTGGGCAGTCTGCCACAGAATCCTCCTAACTCCCAAAAGCATGGATTTTCAAACGCATCTGAAGAGTAAGGGCAGTGAGCACTTGCATGCTGCACTGAGGTGGACCGTGGGTCACCACCATGATATATGGGGTCGCTTGGCCATGGAAGCTGAGGCATACCAGGCCTCCTTGCATACCATATAAAAACTGAGAGCACTGAATGTAGCCTTCTTCCATCTCTTCACACTTGTCTGCAGCTGTTTCAATGTCGCTGATGGTGGAGGCAAAGATGGCAGCACCGCTCTCTACCAGCTGTTTGCAGAGGTGCACACTGTTGCAAGAGGCAGCGCAGTGCAGTGGTGTCCTGGAACCAGAATGGCTGAAGATGTGGGTCTGGTACCACTCAGGGCTGCCTGGCTCCTCCATGGCACAACCCTCCAAGGAATTATCACAAAAGTGCCATGCCTTTGTTCCAGGCAAGTTTCTGTATTTCTAAAGGCATGATTTCTATCAACACTGTTTTGGACCACATACAAATTCTTGAAAAGAGGCCAGGGAGTGAATTAAGGAATGGCCTATAGACAGATGCTCATTGCCATAGTAATGTCAATGTATATAACATACTGACATATGCAGTTATAAATGGCTAAGGTGGTACTTCTTATTGTATTTTACCACAATTTGAAAAAACAGATGTTCAATACAACAGAATGTGCTGCCTGGAAGTTCAACATAATCCTATGGTAGATCAAGGGGCCCTACACCTGACCCTGAAGCAAAAAGAAACAAAAATGCAGGCACCTGTCTAAAAAAGGGACTTCTGAGGTTACTTTTCATATACAATATATAAATAAAGAATTCATATATTTCTTCTGAAAAGAGGAAAAGTAAATGATTAGCAAAATGCTTAAATTGCAATGTTAATAATAAAGCATATGAAGAACATAAACACAGCTGTCTTTAACAAAATAATCAAGAGAAAAGACTGGAAAGATGTAGCAAAACACGGACCCTAGCTTTTTCAGGAATGAAACAATGGGTATTTTTGCTATTTCTTTCTCCTATGCTTCCCAATTTTCTAGAATATGCATGCTTTTCTCTTGTAAGGTAGGGGAAAGTAAATCTCTGAACTCCATATCCCTGGGGGGCTCTTACCATCCATCACTGTCAGCAGCGTTCACATTGACACCAAAGTCTAGCAAGAACTTCACGATGTGATGGTGGCCAGCACAGACAGCATTATGCAGAGGGGTGATTCCTTCATCATTGGGCTTGCTGGGGTCTTCCACCTAGGACATGGGGCATGTGAAAGCCAGCTCCCCGCTACATACAGCACATGAAAGGGGCATAACTCACCTCATAGATGATCCTCTGCACTAGATCAAACTCGCCTTCCAGAGAAGCATCTAGAAGCAGTGCCAGGGGGTTGAAACGTACTCTCAGCCCATGCCCTGTCCTCTCTGAGTTGGGCTTCTTCAGGTTGGTCCGTTTGCTCTGTGGGGAAGGAAGCTTTCAGTGACAGGTGCACTACCAAAGCAAGGCCCAGTCCAAGACCAACTCCTGTGGCAAAGAGCAGCAGGAACTAAACCCTAAGGCAGTGGCTCTCCAAGAGCAGCCCTGGTGGCCATCCTACAAAGTTCTGGCCATCTGTGGAGAACACCACCTGGGTTTGAGTCTTGGCTCATGCTCACAAACGGGAATGGATGGAAGGAGCCAGTACCACTCCTGGGAAGACCTGTATAGTCTGCAACAGCTGTGCTGCTGAGCTGGATGCCAACCCCAAGAGTCTGCAGTTCATCCCTATGGGACATGCTGTGGGGCTTTTCCAACTGTGGCACAGAGAATCCACCAAGACGGCCTTGCAGAGGATTCCCTGACATCAAGCCTGATCCCTCTCTGCTCTTCAGAGATCAACATGACCTCTTCAGGGGCCTCTATCTAGAAGGTCCATTCTTCCTAGTTGCCTATTCTCTGGATTTCAGTAACAGTTCATCAGGGCACAGTGCACCATCCTTTGTACCCCTTGATTTGTGTCCCCTCATTCCCACCCCAAGGCCTAGTTGTGGAAAGCAGGAATATGCCTGGTTCTTCCTGCTCCTACACAGATTAACCACGCAGGTGCTGAGGAAGGCCTGGCTTTGATCTAGCAAGGATACCTACCACAGAGGCTGCTGGAGGGTGGACAACAAGGGAAAGAGGTGATGGAGGGATCTGTTCCTCTCCTGGAGACAGGGCCTCGGCCACAGGGCTTGGAATCTGTTCTGTGGAAGGGACTGTGGCCACATTGTTGTTATTGTCCTCTGCAGGCTCAGCAGTTTGATGGGTGGTTGGGGGACAGATGAGCTCCTCTGGTTCAGGAGAAGGTAGCTCGTTATCATTGGCATCTGAGGATGGGGCAGGCTCATCAGGGAGTGGGGCTGTGGGCTGGGCAGGAATGGACTCATCCAGGTTGCCGTTGGCATTGGTATTTCCATTATCTACATCGGCCAAGGTGCCCACAAAGTCCTGTGAGGGGCTGGGCTGGTAGAAAGGGGTGCCTTCCATGCCACCAGCCAAGGTGTTGAAGCGCTGGTATAGCAGCTTTTGGATGTTGGGCCCTCCAGGGCCCTCTGGCTCCGTGATGGAGCTGCGCTTCTTCAGAGGCCGGGGTGCATTTGCCAGCTTCCTGCGGAGGGCCTCCAGGTCCGCATCACTCTGGTAGCGCAATGGCGAGTGCACAATGGGTGTGAGCTTGGTGGGGCTGAGTGGCCGTGGCAGACTCTCCACTGCACTGCCTTCTCCAGTAGCAGTGGGGCCCTCCTGCTCTGGCTCTTTTTCAGCACATTCTGAGGATGGTTGAGGCTGAGATGTGCCCAACGATCCGTGAAGAAATGGTAAGGGCGATGGAGACGTTGACCCTGATGGTAAGACGGGCTTGCCATACACTGTAGGAGACATGAGAGACACAGCAATTTCAGCTTGTCTGCTGGGACTAGAGTCTAGTCCCTGGGCACCGACTCCACAAGACCTGGGCTCTTCTGCTTCTTGCTGCTGAGTTCTGATTTTAAAACCCCCAAGGAAACTCTCTACTAGCTCCTTTTGTATCTGTTTTTTTATTTGGGTTTCCAAAACTGTAAAAGAAAAGGTTGCTAGCCTAAATTTCCCTGCCCTAAACAAGCCTGCCTTGTTTTCTGGCCTAGGAAAAAGCAAAACCAGTAAACCTGCATCTGAGTCTTGGACTGAGGTAACAGAAAGGGACTTCTCAGAGCAGGACGGTTTGACTTGATGGCCCACAACCCTGCGCACAGGTAACACTGCACACTGCCTGAGTGATTCCTGGCAGGAGATGGCTTGGTGCACCTGCAAAAACCTGAACTACAAGTCTGGATGCTGCAGCTGATGCCCAAAGATGTCTGAAGAGGCCATAACCTAGACCTGGCCCACAGATCCTTTGGCCAGGGTGCAAAATACCTTCAGCATCTGTGGGATGTGTGAAACTAAGCTACATTCTCTCATCTGCCTTCCTAGAAAAGCCTGTGCTCCATCATCCACACCAGGCTCTCTTCCACAAGGACTCTGGAAGGCTCTTCAGCAGTAGATGTCCTTCTCACACAGTCTGGCTCAGCCACAGCCAGGAGGTCTGGAGGGCCAGACGGCAAAGCACACCTCTGCTCACTGGATAGATACTGGTACAAGTTACCGTGAAGCAGGAGGAAAAAGGAAATTCCTGAAGTCTCACCCTTCTACAAGGTTGCATTTCCTAAGTAGTAAAGCGACATGGGCGCTTGAAGTCACAGAGCTATGATCCATCTGCAAAATTGCTCCATGCATTTGTCTGTCTCTCCCATCCACAGACAACCAAGTCTATATTTTATGTAAGAATTATGTTTTATCTTAAGTAGCATTCAAGGATCAATATTTTCTTAATTAAGGTATAATTTCCTGAGAAGGAAAATATAAACCCCACGTACCTGCTTTAACTGATTTATTTAAGGAGCCATGCACGGCTGGCTGATAATTCTTAGGTGGTGTGGCTTGCTGGAGGTACATGGAGTATATGGAACTTGAATTTACTGTTTGGGGTCCTTTCCTGGGAGACTGTGGCCTTGACCCTTTATCAGCCAGAAAGGGCCTAATAGCCACCGTCAGTGGGAGTTCAGGTTTTCCGTCTCCAGCTGGAAATGCAGGTGGCCCCGCTGGTGGGTAGGTGGGACTTGGCGGTACCGAAATCCTCTGCTGAATCTGCTGCGAGGAGCCAGGTTGGGGGGCGCTGCCTGCCGGGGGCAGTGGGGCAGGTTTCTGCCGACTTGGCACACCTGTACTGGGTCTGGGCAAACTGCCCTCTTTTCTCCTCTCCAGGGAGCTTGTTGACCCAGGGCCCAGAGGTGTAGGACTTGGGTAAGTCCCATAGCTAGGAGGCAGTGGCTTGCCTACGCCAGGCATGGGAGGTGGCCCTTTCCCAATCTCGATGCCCTAAATTTAGATGTTAAGAAGAAAAACAAAGTCATTCCTTGAAAAGTTAAGCATATTCCCACCTACGGATGCAAGAGAATACACATTAGAATTTGTATCCTTCAAATCAGCTTGTGGCCGAGACATGGGGCACACTGTAGGACTCATCATTTGTCTGCAAAATTGAGGCAAAAGCCCTGACCACAGGCACCCGTACTTGTGCACTACTCAGGCTCCAAAGGTCCAGTAGCTCTCCAGGACTCTGGGTGTATGGTGGACACTAACAAGATTAATTTACCTCATGATGTCTCATACCTGAGCTTAAGACTAAGGTGGAAGGGGTCTTTAGTCTGGCTGGGGCTTTGTGGTAAGGATGACATCCTACCAGCTTTTCTGTGGCTCCCAGTGCTGACAAGGGCAGAGGTTGGCTTGAGATTGCACCCTGCTTGAGGGCTCCCTCCACGCCTGGGTCCTTCCACTCTGTACTGGCCATCTGCGCTGACTTCATCGAAGAGCCAGAATTCTGCTTTAATGTTGGCCAGCTTCCATCATTAGCTTGAAAAGAACACAGAATTTAGGTAAAATTTCTCTTGAAATTAGTTGAACCAACTTAAGAGTAACACCCTGCCAGAAACAAAAGTAGCAATGGCACTTCACATTGGGAGGGAGCTCCATGAGCCAAACAGTCAACCACCACCTGCGTGATGCACTACTAACTTGCTCCAGCATCCACAGAACCATGCTACAAACTCAAGGGGCAAACTCTGCAGGCACCTTCTGGCCAGTGTGGCCAGCAACTCATGACCACAAGCTTAGCTGTGCAGCACAAGCTGCAGTCCAAAGGAGTACAGGCCAAGTCCATTACAGACACACCACAGAACACAGTAAGCACTGCACTTACTTTTCAAATGCTCTTTATAAACACAATTATGTACAGCAATAAAAAGATTTATCTTTTGACTTCATAACAGGTTTGACCTGTACTACTTCCATGATTAAAATAAAATTTCTTTCATGTGAGGAAGTCTTTGCCTCTGAAATAATGTGTGTGAACACAGGAGGCCAGTACAAACTCCCTCTGATTTGGCAGCAAGAGGAACAGCTGTCATTCTGTTGCAGTGATTAGAAAGCCAGTCATCAACCTCAAGTTTCCAGGAAAGCCACTGAAAATATAGGGTTTGTTTGTTTGTTTATTTATTTATTTATTTAAACAGAGATTTTTCCAAACTGAAAAAGGTGCTGAGGTGCTTCCTGGTCACACAGGGTCACATGCAGTGACCCTAGATCATATGGCATCTGTGAGTCAGCTGTATGCCCTAAACTGGGCCCCTGCTTTTCTTCAACAGTCATAGGTGTGGAGCTGCCCTGACATAGTATACTCCCTACCACCAACAGTTGGGGACAGACAGGAATCAGCAAAGGCAGGAGGGAAAACTAAGCCACATCAGAAAAATCATTTGTCTTGATGGGTGCTGGTGACTCACCTGTAATCCTAGCTACTTGGAAGGCTGAGATAGGGAGGACTGAGGTTCTGAACCAGCCTAGGCAAATAGTCTACAAAATCCCACCTCCAAAATAATCAGAAAAAATGGGCTGAAGATGTGGTTCAAGCTGTAGTATCTGCTTTGCAAGTGCAAAGCCCTGAGTTCAAACCCCAGTGCTACCCCTCCCTCCAAAAAAGAAAAGTCATTTGTCTTCACACAATGCTTGAGCAAAACCAAAAATCATTTGAAGTGTAAGCTGCTCAGGCAAGTTCCTGCACAATCCCTAGGGCACAGGACCCCCAGGTCAGCGCTGTGCAGTAAGGATGAGCTGCCTTTGGGTGCCCTGGCTGGTCTGATCTGTGGCATCCACACACAGCCTGCTTCACAGTCAACCTGACCTGCTACAAATAGGCTGTACTCACTGCAATGCTACTTGATCACTACAGTGATGAATGTCACTCCTGGAAGCAGGGCTCCAAGACTGTACTAGCCTAGGCACATAGCTCTGGCAATGCATTCCAAGACCCAACGCAAGCTGTCACCTTCCTCCATGTGGCCAATAAGTCTTCTTCAGCTACAAATGTGTGCATTTTCACCCTCTCTTAATTGACTCTTAGCCTTGGAGTATGTGTGGCCTCCAAGAAACTCACCAGAGACATTAAGATGAAAACTCTGGGATGACCAGAAAAAGCAGGCCTCTCTGAAGCTCCAGGGGGTAGGCCAAGAGACCTGGATTTTCTGTGCAATCTCTGGGTCACCTGGCTTCTGAAACCCTGTTTTCTGTTTTTACAGAAAACAGCCATGGGGAGACTAAGAAATACTCTTTTCCTTTCTTCAGGACAAGGTAAGTATAGAAGGTCACTTACTTTTATTATAAAGGGACAATTACCTTCAGTTATGGATGGAAAATGCTTCCGCTGAACATCTCATAATGAACTCCGAAAATAATCTTAATTCTTTTTTAGACATGGTTTTGCTCTGTTGCCCTGACTAGCCTCAAACTTGTGATCCTACTGTCTCAGCCTCCCAATTGCTAGAATTATAGGCATACACCATCATACCTAGCAGTTCATCTTAACTTTGGAAAACCAAACAAATGAACAAACAAATACCCTTACTGTGGATGCTTGTGGGAAGGGAGGGCTGAACTCCACACCTGTCTATAAAGGAAAGGGCAGGTATATTTAGATGGTGCTGTTTTTCAAGTCTAGGTATGATGAACAGCCCTTTGTCAGTTTGGAAAAAACAAATGATTGTTTTTGATTCAAATGATTGTTGTTACAGGAGATCAAAAGTGCCCCACTAAGTATGTCAGCCAACATACGGTTTACACGTGGGCTTTCAGAGTGCCGTGAGGAGCTGCAGTCAGGCCCGATGTCCAGGTCTGACACTGTCCACATGCTGTTCACTCTGGGTCTACCATGGCCATCTGTGTGACACAGAACTAGGACAGCCAACAATGAGGGGTTAGTGTCCCCATCAGGAGGTTTCCCATCCTAGTTCCACAGGTAAGATTCTGCCCCCATCTCGGGCTGACACAGGCTTCCTATGTCCAGTTTCTTTAAACCACAGTGGAAGGGCTGGGTGAGGGCTCTGTAAAGGCGGCTTCTTCTGGCAACTCTGTGAGCAGCACAGCACACACCCGCACAGGGGGAGTAGAGAGTAGTGACATTTTCAGCTTCTAAGTTTTAACAATGACGTCAACAGGAAAAGATGCTGGCAGTGCTAATTACCTGCCATTGTAACAGACCAACATCCAGTCCTACTACTCCTTCTCATCAAAAACCACTGTGACAAGGGGCTTCTCATTGACATCAGGCCCTGTGTGGTTGCTGAGAGGTTGTCGGTCATAAAAAGATTTGAGTTGGGACTTGACCATAAGGGCTGGGGAAGTCCTCCTCTTGCTGAATTTGGTAGGAGCCCCAGTAGGAGCAACAGATGTGTCACTATGCAACAGTAAGTGCCAAGCAAGAGAAAGTGACACAAAGGAAAGACCAGCACAAACCAGTTACCAATCCTGAAAAAAGGATAGGCATGACAGCAGGAGAGCAGCAATATTGTTTTCATAAATGAAAGACTGTCTCAATATGTCAGGATATGGATTCCTGATACTGTGTTACAGGGAAATAAGTCAACCCCAGTCACAAGAAAAGTTACTGTTAAGTCCTGACTTTTAATGTGCTGGTTTAACAAACAATCATATGTGCCATGCATAGCCACTCTCTGTCTGGCTGGAACACTATGCAATAAGCTATGCCCAAGCATGGTACTGGAAGCCCAAATCACCACACAGCACAACTGTGCAAAAGCCAAAGTAATGGCTTGTGGATTTTCGTGTGTGTGTGTGTGTGTGTGTATGTTGCTGGGGATTGAACCTAGGGCCTTGTGCATGCACTAGCATTGAGCTACACTCCCAGTTCAAGGTTTGTGGACATCCTGATCAATTTAAGACTGTGCAGAATGGAAAAAGTAAAGACCAGCTGCAGAGCTCTGTCTACAAAGAGGTGGCCCCTACCTGGCCACAAGCAGCAGGCCTATGAAGAATACAGTGAGGCATCCACTGCTGGCTGCTGAGTGCCCTCAGGGGAAAAAAAACCTTGTGTTCTGAGAGGGGTAGCAGTTTTAATTCATCATTTGTTTTGAAAACCCAAGACAGAGACCTTCAGATAGTAAAGAGAATTTGTTCTCATTTTAGGATCATTATTTTTGTGACGGCACATGGCTCTCCAAACAACGTCCCAAAAGACCAGGTGCCTCAGGGAGAACCTGAGCCTGCAGTCTGACATGGGTGGGGCTGCTACTGCCTCCAAGGGTTCTTCCCCTCCCACACACTGTTCAGAGAAGACAGCCAGGGCCACTCACCAGATTTTGATCTTCCATGGGCAGCACTTGAGGTGATGGTGAGAGACTGGGGCTTTACAGGGTCTCCCGGGATAGGATAGCTCCCAGCACTGGGAACTTGGATGTAAGGCCCTACAGCAGCGACCCTGCCAGATGTGCTCAGGGGGGATTGTGGCGATGATGTACCATTCACACGGTTCAGCTGCAAATCAGGAAGAAAGGAGAGTCAAGATTCTCCTAAATTAAAAGAAATGCTAGGCCAGTGACAGACTGCTAGCTCAGACAGAAACCTCCCATTCGACAGTCACCCTGAAAGACCAGCATCTAGAAGTGGGAGCCTAGAGAGAAAGACTTGGTCCATAGTCCACAGAACCACTCTCTCCAGTAGCACTTGCTCACAGGTGAAAACAAGGAGGAGCCAATGAGATGCAGCACAGCTCCCACTTGCTGATGAACTACCTCCCTCTCACTGGGGATGCTCTCCCTCCCCTGCGTGGGCAGAGGCACTGGTCACAGCTGCACTCTGAGCACAGCTTCAAATCCTGCTCTGCCACGGGCCAGTGACTTGACCTTTCTGAGCCTTTGTGCCTATGTCTATAAAGTCAGGGTAAGAGTTGCTGTCAGGAAGCAGGGCAAGGTGCCCAGGTAAAGCTCTGATCCTGATGATGCCCTTGGCCTGAGGACAACTCTACCTTTATGAGCAAGGACACAGCCACAGACAAAGGACACTGGCCACACAATGCTGCCCAAGAACAAAAGGGTCTATAATGGGATTCTAACTAAAAATTACTGACTCCCAAGGGGGATCTGTGGCCTCCTGCAACTATCTGTAAGATTCTGGGTACAGAAGCACATCTTATTTTGGGGAGATGTGCACAACTTTCACAACAACATAAAAGTACCTAGAACCTTCTGGTGGCATCACATCTCTACAGAGGCACTAAGTTCTTCAAGAAGATCTCTGAAGTAGCCAGTAGAACAGAACTAGCCATTAGTAACAAATTAGTAACAATTAATTTCATGCATCAACTTGGCAAAGTCATGGTACTCAGATATTTGGTCAAATACCTGTCTAGACACTGCTGTAAAGGCATTTTAATTTTTTTTGGTGGTACTGTGGTTTGAACTCAGGACCTCATGCTTGTGAGGAAGGTGCTCTACAAGTTGAGCCACACCCACCAGCCCTTTGTGTTTTATCTTCTGAATAGAGTCTTGAGTTTTTGCCTGGGCCAGCCTGGGCTTTGATCCTCCTACTGTGTCTCACCTAGCTGGAGCTACAGCTATACATTGCCATACCTGACTTATTGGTTGAGATGGGGTCTTGCTAACTTTTTGCCCAGATGGTCTTGAACCACCATCCTCCTGAGTAGCTGGAATTAGAGGAATGTATCACAAGGCCCAGCCCTGTGAAGGCATTTCTGGGATAAGATTAACATTCAAATCAGTAAAGTCTTGAGTAAAGGTAGGTGGGTCCATGGGTAGGTGGATCTCATCAAATCAATGGAAGGCTTTAAGAGAAAAAGACTGAGTTCCCTCAGTGTGCAAGAGGGGACTATGTAGCAGTCCCATGACCTTGGACTTGAGCTGCAACATCAGCTCCCACTGGGTTCCCAGGCTGTGGATCTGCCCTGCAGCTCAGACTTGCCACCTTCCATTGTTACACAAGCCAATTACTGAACATGTATCTCTCTTTCCTTCTGTCTCTCTACCCCCACACCCACACACTAATGATTCTGTTTCTCTGAAAGCTCTAAGTCCTACACCATTTAAAGAATGTAATGTAGATGAGCATAGAGACTGGGTGCATTATCATCTCTATTGTGACCTGTGTTGCTAATCTTGAGAGAAAAATAAAACCATCATCTGAACGATAGTTCGACAAGTCGCTGACTGACTGACCTTTCAAACTCTCTGGTTAAAGAGAAAGGATAATGGGGTCTCACTGATCTGAAACTACAATCCTCCTGATCTCAGCTTCAGGCATAGCTTGGATTAGGCTTGCGCCACTGCCCAGCTATTGGTTGAGATGGGGTCTCAAGAATTTTTTGCCTGGGCTGGCCTTGAACCACAATCTTCCTGATCTCAGCCTCCCAAGTAGCTAGGATTGCAGGTAAAGTCACATGTGCCCAGCTCTAAATATTTTTTGAAGTATAATCCCTTATATGGCCTTTTGCTCCAGCTTTCAAAACTCTTCCAGATGGGTTATTTCTAAGAATCCTTACAACACCTGGGGTAGGTAGAACAGATTCCTTTACAGCAAAGACATGCGGCCAGAAAGGTCAAAGAATTTGCCCAAAGTGGCAGCTTAAACTGTGAAAACATGGAACAAGCCAAGTGCTCCAACTCCAGGGCCAACAGTACCCCTATGCACAGGAAGGAGGGGACAGGAAGCCAAACCCAGGCTGGGTGTAGTTCCAACCCCACACACAAAGAAGTAATGAGTCTTTGGGAATGTGAACTTTCTCCTACTGTCGTTTTTTGGGGTTTATGGCCAATTTATGTTTTGTCAACTGTGACAAACTAAAAGACCACGATGCCATTTAGTGATGGCAAGCAGTGATGTCATCTGCTTTCAGATGAACCACTGATAGCAGTTTATCTCACAGACATTTTCCCTTTCACACACCTGAATTTTCTTGCCATAAAGTCGTTCACGCAGTTCACTGATTCGCTTGTCCATCATGGCCACCTCCATGTTGCGCTTATTTAAGAGTTCCTTCTGCTGCTGGAGTTTTGAATTCTGTTCCTGGTTAAGCTGGTTACGAATCTGCAAAACAGAATATACAACTTTAAGATCTGTGTTAATTAAAAGTCAAATTCTTCATTACCAGGGAGATTTTTAAAAAAGAAAGAAAAGAAAAAATAGCCTTAAGTTTGCATGTGCTTACACACATGCACTGCCACCTGTGTGCTATGTATTTTATAGGTATGGCAAGGGGGAAGCCAAAATAAGACTATGGTACTAGAGATCAAACCCAGGGCATTGTGCATACTAGGCAAGTATGCACTACTTGCCACTGAGTCAACTCCCTGGCCTTTGGTTTTTTTAAGAGAGGGTTCTTGCTGTATATCCCAGGCTAATCTTGAACTCATGATTCTCCTGCTTCTGCCACCTGAGTGATGTGCCACCATGTCCAAACCAGAACAGAGTTCTGATAGAACAAAGAACAAATGCCTACAACTACATGCTTTAAATAAAGCATATATAGGGGCCAGGGCCCACAGTATATATGAGATCAAGCCTGGATCCCTGGGGAAAACTACTCTGGGGAAGCCCCTGCAAGGGTCCTCTCAGAACTCAGAAAACAAGTCTTTCCACACCAAGCCACCAAATGAGGAACCAGACCACACAGGCAGTAGGAAGCTCACTCAAAGATAACCTAAAATGCCCAAAAGAGCAATCATATTTCAGTGGGTTGTAAATAGTATTTTAAAAAATGAAACAGGAGAGAAAAGACAATACCAGAATGCACTCTACACAGAAGATTAGGTATTGTCTTGGTAAACTCCAGATGCACACACAACCTGCATGTATGCATCAGACTAGTGGCAAAATACACTTTGGAATGCATAGAGCACCTGCTTTGTAAGTGTGAAGCCCTGAGTTCAAACCCCAGTCCCACCAAAAAGAAAAACCCCACAAAGTTAGAAATAAATCACATATATTCATACCTCACCAAAAATATCCTTAAAATTCTACTCATTTAATAATTGCTTAAAAGGTAAAAAGAATGTTAAAGAACTTAGGAAGAAGTAATTTTATTCTCTGTAGCTAAATACCTTCATTTCATAAAATGATGCAACATTTTTCTCAGCAAGTACTAATAAAAACACAAAACTTGTCTCTGGCTTGAAACGGCACATACTGAGTGAAAAGTTGTGAGAAACAGAAATCCAGAATGTTATAGACTGAATGTTTGTTTCCCCTCTAAAATTATACATTGAAGCCCTAACCTACCTAGCGTGAGGTATTTGGGGGAGGGGTCTTTAGAAGGTAATTATGTTTAGATGAGGTCAGAGGGCAGGACCCGACAATGGGATGGATATGTGACTTACAAAAAGAGCAAGAGACACCAGAGCTTGCTTTCCACCTTGTGAAGATACAGCAAAAAGTCAGCTGTCAGAAGCCACCTCTTATCAGAAATTTAATCTATCAACTCTCCTGATCTTGGACTTCTAGGCTCCAGAACTGTGAGAAATAAGTATCTGTTCTTTGAGCCACCCAATTTATGATTATTTTGCTATAGCAGCCTGAGCTGACAGAGACAAGGATTTAAGAAAAGGCATCTAGCTCAACAAAATACAGTGTACACAGAGACTCAAATATCTAAAGCTTAATGCTACACTAGTTTATTATCTTGCCAACTGAGTTGTTTTGTACTGAAAACACATTAAGTGAAAGAAGCCAGTCACAAAGGACCACATATTGTAAATCCATTCATATGAGAGGTCCAGAATAGGCAAATTCATAGACAGAAAGTAGAATCCTGGTTGCCAGGTTCTGGCAGGGAGTTGTCAGGAGTTGAGGGGCAATGGTTAAGAGGTACAGGAACTTCTTTTTGGGATAATGAAAATGTTCTAAAACTAATTATGGTATAGAATGCACAACTCTGTGGAGACAATAAAATGCACACATTAGGTGAATTGTATACTGTGTGAATTACATCTCAAGAAAGCTATTTAAATTTCTTTTGTATCGAATATAGTTTGTTTCTACTATTAAATTAGAATCTATTTATTTGTTTCCAGCTCACAAATAGACATTTTTACTAAGAAGAAAGCCAGAAAGAAGAGGGGATTTTTACACAATCATTCCCCAGGCCCAGGTAAGTTACCTGTAGCTCTTGGTACAGTCTTTTTAACTCCACCGCTGCTGGTCCTGTCAACTTGCCATTATAAGACTGGAACCCATTCAGCTTTCCCTTCTTTAAATCTTCCAATTGCTGACTTAGCTGATCAACTCTTAAAATTGCAGTCTGTACTTCCTGCTTCTTTTCCTGGAACATGGCACTGAATCTTTCTATTTCAGCAGCTGTAATTATCCACCAAAACAAAGAAACAAAGTCATTCAATTGATATTCAATCTTCTTCATTTCTATACATTGTGCCTAATTGTGGTAATATTTAATGCTAGACTTTTGATTAAATTGTATGCATAATCTCAAACATTTCTTTTCTCTCTTTCTTTCAGTGCTGGAGATAGAACTCAGGGCCTCACGCATGCTAGGGAAGTGCTCTACCCTGCCCAAAACACATTAACAAGCTTTTGGATCACACAGAGCAATGTGACTAGACACAGAGCAAACAATTTTGTTTGGTCAAGCCACTTAGGAATCTCAGGCACCAGCAGAACAAAGGCCTTGTGAAGGGCTTACTCATCACTGTAACATAAAGTAGGCACTAACTGCACTGATGAAAAAATATGAAGAGTCCATAAAGAAACAAAAGTGAGCACCTATATAGTGTATTTTAATGCATAAATAAAATTTAAGTCATTTAATGAAAACAGACACTCATAATGACTGAGAACTGAAGCAGCCCCTCAAATGTCTCTCTAGGGCTATACTGGAATACCATTCTGCACCTTATAAATATGCACAATTAAAAAGAAAAAAAAATAAATATGCACAATTATGATGCGTTAATCAAAATTTTTTTTAATTTTAAGGAGACAGAAATGCCAGCTACCCTGATCTGATCAATATATACCGTATACACATATCAAATCATCACACTGTACTCTATAAATATGTGCAATTAAAATTATACAAAAATGAACACAGGAAATTGATGTTAGTAAATATTATTAACTGGAACACAACCTAATTTGGATTTCACTAGTTTTGTGTGTCTGTGTGCGTGTTTGCAGGGCATGGGGGAAATGTATAGCTTTAAAAAAAATCACTTAACCTAACCAACCCCATCCTTTTAGATCATGTAACAGTGTAAAGTTCTAGTGCATTTGTTGTAGCAAAAGTCCACCTGAATTTGTGACTGAAACTGATGGGCGATGGACTCTGACTTTTTCTAGGCCTGGGGAATGTGAATACAGTGGGTCATCTTGCTCAGTGGGCACATACACAGATTGCCGTTCATAATTTTGCTGTAGTCAACTTGTCCTCTCATGGCACGAATTTTCTTCAGCTTGTTTTCCTGGGCTTCAACTCGTTCTTTCAATTTCTGAAGTTTTTCATTTTCAGAAATAGATTGCTGCTGGCGGCGCTCTTGTTGCTTTAGAAAATGTAAACGTTGTTCCTGATAAAGAAGGAAAAACCTAACTTTGCAAATTGAATGATTTGCAAAGTAATTTTATTTTATAAATAATTTTTTAAAGTTTATAAAAATAAACTTATGATTATCTTATACACTAAAAATTAAATGTATCTCACATTTATCACCTATCTTAATAAATATTAAAGAACATTAGAGGAATCTTGCATATATCAATTCAGAAAAAACTGAAATTACTGGGCATACATATGTGTGAGATGGTAAGAATCTGGGGATTTTTAAAGGGAACCTGACTACACATACTCTGTAGAAAGGCTCACAGCTGGGAGCAAGCCCTAACTACTACAATTTCTTCACTTCCTCACATCTACCATGTCCAGCTAGTTTTGTTGCCAGCTGTTGGAAATGGCTTCCTCCTATACTTTCAAGATCCCTATTCAACTTCCTAAATGAAATGAACACCCACCAGCAGAGGGTTTTACATGAAAAGACAAAAGGTAATCAGTAAGGAGATAAACTTCCAATTTGTAACTGACACTGAACAATCAAGGAAGTGTTTGCTTTCTTCAGAAACAATGGAACATTTATAACAGGACAATCCTAAAAAAAAAAAGAAATATGAAATACCTTTCAATAGTTTTTTCCCTATTAATGTGAAAACATACCTCAAAGGTAACAGTCAGTCTTAAATCTACATGGTCCCATGTGCACTCATAAAATATTCCTAAATAAAGAGAAGCTTAGATATGATTATGTAGGCATTACCTGCTACACTCTAAGGTAAGGAAAATGAGCTCAAATATTTCAGATTTAGCATTAACTTGGGATTTACATTACTGAAAATATCTGTAAAGTTTTTTAAACAGCAATATTCTTGGATCAATATTTGAAAAGGAAATAAGCAGAATTAGAAAACTTTATAGGTACATAATATTATGTACATTTGATATTAAAAATCTTACTAATGGGATGAAACACTTCCTAATTTTAATCATTTTTTATTCTTTTTGTTGCTGTTTGTTTTGTTTTGAGATATGATCTCTTCATATAGTACAGACTGGCTTGAAACTCCCTATGTAGCCTCAGGCAGGCCTTGAACTCAGGATCCTCCTGCCTCAGCTTCCTGAGTACTGGAATTACAGGTTTGCACCATCACACCCAGCCTGTTTTTTATTTTTGTAAGTCCAATAAACATTAATAGACTTTTAAAAACAAGTACAACTTACATTGCTACTAATAAAAGCAGATAATACAATGAACTACATAGTCATTCAATAAGTGAAATAAACTGGACTGGTCATTTGTCATTAAGGAAATTTCTCTATAGAACAAAGCAACAATAACCTAATTGGTAATGTTTAGAGGTTCTTTTTAAAGCAGGTTCTGAACATTTTAGGATCATTCACAACATGAATTTTTTCCAGCAGGCATGGGTAATAGGTCCTTTTTTGTCTATCAAGTATGACTTAATCATGATTTGGAAAAATTCCAAATCTACAGAGTTTCAAACACAAATGTAGAATTCAGTGGGTAGAAAAATCATTAACCATGCCATGCACTGTGCTAACTCTGGCACATTGAGCACAGCATGTCACACCAGAAGCCTGTTAAGCAGCTGTCAGTCTTCTAGGGTACTTGCCAGAGTTTTCATCACAGTCTGCTGGTCTCCTTTAGGACACCAACACCAATCACATGGTAGAGAACAGCTAGCCCAGGGAACAGAGAAATAGAGAGGTGACAACAGAAATCACTTTTTTTTTCTTATTTTGTTTACAATGTGGACAGGGCCAACTAGTTCCTGTTCGGGGGTGGGGGGGGTGGGGGTGGGGTGGGGGTGTGTGTGTGTGTGTTTGTGTGTGTGTGTGTGTGTGTGTGTAGAATCAGAGCTCTTGCTCTGATGCCTCTCTAACATAACTTCCTAACAATGTTACATCATGGAGCTACAGGCACATGCTATTACTGAAGGGATCATGCAGAGGGAAAGACTTATGCTTAGTACTTCCCTGGCATGGCCTCATCTCACAAGCACCACCCACTCATGCAGATAGCCCCAGCTTGAAAGCACAGCTGAAGAACGGTTTTGAACCATGTTTCCCTACTTCTGTTCTTATAACTTACCTTGGCAACCAGCATTTGCTGCTGATTTTCAATTTGCTGCTGTTGCCTAGCTGCCATGTCTTGGAGTTCTGAGAGGGTAAGTTCAACACGTGAATTCCCAACCTAAAGACAATAAAAAGCATTCACTAGTATGTACATTCATCTGCATAATCATCTCTCATTAGAACACACACACATCTAAATTTTAGATGGGTTCTCTAAAAGTTAGGAAAACATAATTTAGTTTATTTTCTCATAAGAACTTTCCTAATTGTTGACTACTTTAATTAAATGTACATAAATAACAGGTTTAAAAGTTTTTCTAAATAAATTTTTCTTTTTCTTTCTTTTTTTTTGTGGTGGTACTGGGGTTTGAACTCAGGACCTTGCACTTGCTAGGTGAGTGCTCTACCACTTGAGCCATGCCCTCACACCTCTTAAGTTTTTCTAATGCATACTATATTTAATAAGGGACTCAATATTATGCAAATACTTGAAATGTGTATTATAACTGACATTCTTCTGTTTGAAAGCTATGTATATTTGAGCAAATGGGGCGGTCAAATGTCTAAGGACATATAACCAAAAAAGTAAATGTGCAGATGATACCCAAGACAAATATCATCTCATCGTTTGTCACCCACTGTAATCAGGATTTGCTTAAGTCTTACCTGAAACTCCCATTCTGTTTATCTAAAGATCTTAAGGGAGCAATGTGGAGCCTGACTCTTCAAAACTAGGTATCTTAAACTTCAAAGTTATAGAAGCTTCCATTTAAAAAGAAATTTGTTCCGTCTACCAAATAAAGAAGTCTGCCAGAACAGTCCAAATGACTGAAAGACTTATTTCTTCCTTAACACTAATTGGGCTTTCTGAATCAGCAAAAGAAAAGGTATTTCGTTCTTTCCTTTTTTTTTTCACAATTTCCCATTTGGGCAAAGTGCCCTAAGAATGACACAGTGTGCACAAGTGGAATTTCTGGTGTTTTTAGTTGGGTTTCCTGAATGCAGAGCCTCCAAGAAATATTTGGCTACACACAGTGCATTGAGGGAGCCGCTCATCACCAAACTTATGGCTGTTGGTAGACTGCAGCTTCTCATGGACAGCACACTGCTGGCCTGAGACTGTCCCCAGTTCCATGCCACATGGGACCTCTACATTAAGGAAGAGCAGAGCTCCAAGTCTGGAATCCCACCATCTTGGTAGGATCCAGATGTAGTCTAGCTCCTGTAGCACAGCTCCTGGATGGAAGATGCGTTCAGTTATTAGATCCTCTTGGAGTGCATGAGTTATCATCTGTCTTAGAAGCCAAACCAAAGATTGGGAAGGAAGTGTATCTGCCTCCACAGGGTGGCTACTGAAGTTTTGAACTCAGGACTTTGCACCTGTTAGGCCAGCACTCTACCATTTAAGCCATGCCTCTATCCCTTTTTGCTCTGGTTATTCTGGAAATAGGGTTAGTATGAACTGCAATCCTTCTATTTATGTTTCCTGCCTTAGCTGGGATAATAGGCATGTCCTCCATGTCCAGTCTTTTTACACTGAATTGGGGTCTCACAAACCTTTTTTTGGCCTAGAGTTAACTGGAATGGTAAGCTTCCCAATCTCAGTCCTCAAGTAGCTAGAATTACAGGTGTGAACCACAGATGCCTAGCTCTGAAACAGAATTTTTTAACCAGAAAGTTGAATACCTCTTCCAAATAGAGTTCTTGCCTTTCAGTCATCCCTCCAACCGAGGTGGCAGCTGAATTTTGAGTTGGAAGAGAAGATTTTCAATGGTTATTTCTAAAAACCTTCAGAACTTTCACTTCTTTATGCTTTTTAATTTAATTTTATTTTATTATTTTTTTGGTACTGGTGTTTGAACTCAGGACCATACTCTTACTTGGCAGGTGCTTTACCATTTGAGTCATTCTGCCATCCCCAGAACTTTCACTTCTTAAATACTTTTTTTTTTTTAAACCAGTCTCTCTATCTGCTCAGGCTGGCCTCAAACTTGCAATCTTCCTGCCTCTACATCCTGAGTGCCAGCTTTAAATACTTTGTTTTAGTGGTACTGAGGATTAAACTCATGGCCTTGGGGACTTCCACCTGCTCCAAGGATCCTATGGTGAGGACCACTACCTGGGCCAAAGATCAGGGTCCATCTTTACCACCTGAAATCTGGATTCCAGGAAAGCAGTTATGTTACCAATAAACCCAGTTCCCCCTATGGTTTCACAATGACATCACCTCCTACTCCACCCCACTCAGGGCTAACTGCTCCTACCTAACCCCAACATAAGCAGAGCATTAGAGACTCTCATCCCAGCCTGTATAAATTGCTCATCTCATCACTTCATTCCCTCCTTCTCCAAACTCCTACAAACCTACTGTGGAAATAGAAAATTAAGAGACTCTGGTCTCTAAAATATACATTTTTACATATACAGTGCAAATCTGAGGGAAGACCTATACCAGGAACCTGCTAGCTAATGTCAGGCTTAGTGGCTGTGAGCCACGGCAGAAACAGGCCTAGCCACAGCACTCAGTGACCAACATCTCTTCCTAAGTGATTCAGTGCTTCCTCTTCCCTCACAGATCCCCACCACATTCTATTTCTTTCATTCTGTCCTTCTCTGAAGAGTGTACATCCTCCTCACCATTTTAACTACCCTACAGATATTGCCCAACACCTTACTAACCCAAACTGCTTCTGGCCCTATTGCAATACTCCCTTCATCATGACATCTAATTCCTGTCTTCCTACCATGGCCATAAGCAGTAGTGCAATGAAAGTTCATAAACCATGTGGCTCAAGGTCAAGACACCAGAATGCAGCAGGGCAGGACTGATGCTGGTGCCAGCCCCACACCCAAGGCTATAAGGTGTCAGGGGAACACTTATTTTCTGGTACTGAACTATCTGTACTCAATATCACAATACTGTGATAATTCATTTATCTTCTATATACCTGATGCAATCCTAGAATCTGCAGGCAACATTAAAGTGCATTCTCCTGCTGTTTTCCATGAGCCTCTATTCTAAATGCAAGAGTCTCACATAGGAAGTAATTAGGTTCTATTAAAATCAACTATGCACATCAGAAACTGAACTCAGGTTTTATTTACACTTGTATTTCCATTGTGAAATAAAAGCAGCATTTCCAGAGTAGCAGTGAGGGCACAGAATATCTCATGCACTTTTGCAAAAGTGTACTGCTCAGGTTGGTGTCCACCTCAAAAAGCTCATGAACAGCTCATGAAAGTAGACCTTCCAATGCACAACACTCAGCCATCCTGGGTTCACTCACAATGGGGACTGTGAGGCTGATAAAAAGATGTCTCCTAAAACCTCCCACCCTACATAGTGAGTCCAAATGTCTATATACATTACCATTCTCGACCTTACAGAAATCCCAAATAAAAATATTATTTCACAACACCCCAAATGAAAAAAACTAAAACATGATTTTCTAATTTTTTATGGCAGTAAGTTTACAATCAGCAACATTAAAAAAAGAAAGGAAAAAAGATAAGCACATATTCTCACCTACTTGCTAATTTAAGAAATACATAGTGAAATCAATGTTTACTCTTTTTGTGTGTGTGGTGCTGGAATGGAACTCAGGGCCTCACTCATGCTAAGAAAGTACTCTATCACTGAGCTACAAACCAGCCTAGTGTTTACTTTTAAAATCAACTTTAGGCAGAAATTACAGCACTCAGATGTACGCATTTGAAATACATTGTTGAGTGAGTTTTAACAACTGCACTTCCCAGTGTAACCACCATCCCGTCTAGATGCAGACCTTCATCATTCCAGAAGGGAAGGTCCTTCTGCCCTTCCCAGTTGATCCCTGACCCTCAGGCAGTCCTTGATCTAGGGGGCTTTGTTGCTACTGTTGTTTTGGCATGACAGACCTACTCTGTTTGTTCTAGAACTTCACATGAGTGGGATCATACAGTTGTGTACTTCTTTGCATTTGGCTTCTTTCACTTGGTTTAATGTCATTGTTATTTATTCATTTTGTTGAGTGTTATAACTAATTTACTCGTTCTGATTGATTTCTGAGTAGTATTCCATTGTATGAAGATACCACATCTTGCTTACCCATTACTATTGATGGATAACAAGGGATTGTTTCTACTTTGTGGCTGTGAGAAGGAAAGCTGGTATGAACAGTCATGTACCAAAATTTATGTGGACAAAGGTTTTTATTTCTTTGGATAACCTATGTCAAGAAATTGAACAGTTGGATGGTACAGAAAGTATGTGTTCAATCTAAAGTAACTGCCAAACTATTTTCCAAAGTGAAGTATCAATTTACACTACCATCAGCAACCTGTCAAGAGTTCTAGATCCTCCACATCCTTGCCAATACTTGGTGTTGGCAAAGTTTAAGTTTTTTTTAAGTTTAAACTATCCTCTTTCAAATAAGATGGTAACTTCTTATTAAAGAAGAGGTACTATATGAATGGTATTTTGATAAGTAATGAAAATGTACTGGTATCAATTTCTCAATAAGTAAGTTATTCCATGATTTGCTAACAGTTGGAGCCTTCTTTTCCGTGTTTATCTCTCTTCTTTGCTAATTATGTGTGAGTCATGACTTGGAAAACTATTGAAATAAAATGTTAGAAAAACAGATCATTACAGATATTAAAAACAACTCTCTTGATAACTGCAGTAGAGGCTTTTGATCACAGGTCAGTTGGTAATATGTCTTTAATCATGCTCATTTTGGGTTTTCTCAGGCAATGTCTTAAATATAATTTTTACACCAGTGCTACAATAATAGATATTAAAAACATGAAGTTTCTCAAAACAAACCATTGTCAACAACTATGCAGGATGATCATACATCTTCCGTCCTAAACCACTAATAATATGTTTTGTAAATTTTTTAGTGTTTCCAAGTATTAGAAAGACTAGTTTTATACTCTATTTAAGGTGCTATTGTATAATGACTCTTTAATCCAAATACGTACTAAATAAATGCTGTGTAAGCAGTGGCATTTTGAAGCTAGACATGGTAGTACATGCCTACAATACCAGCTACTCATGAAGTGGAGGCAGGAGTAGGAATTGGAGGCTGGCCCATGTCAAGTTAACTGGAGTCTACCTCAAAACCAAAATAAAAT